CTCCTCCTCCTCCTCCTCCTCCTCCTCTTCCTCCTTATCCCTCTCTCCCTCCCTCCCTCCCTGCTTCCCTCCTTCCCTCCCTCCCCCCGCTGGCGCATGCGCCGGCGACGACCAAGGCGCCTGTCGGCGCCCCCGTCGGGCTCGGCGTCGGCGCCCCCGTCGGGCTCGGCGTCGGCGCGCCCGTCGGGCTCGGCGTCGGCGCCGCGGTCGGGCTCGGCGTCGCCGGCGCGGCCTCCTGGGCGTGGCGGGCGCGGCGCCCGCGGGCGCGGGGTCCGACGACGGCCGACGTCGCGTCGTCGTGGTCGCGGTGGTCGCCGAGATCGTCGCGGGCGAGGCTGTTGGTGCCGTCGTGGTCGCAGTCGTCGCGGTCGTCGTCGCGGTCGGGGTCGTCGTGGGCGAGTTCGTGTTCGCCGCCGCCGTCGTGTACGCCGCCGCAGAGCGCCGTCGTCGTGGTCGTGGTCGTGGTCATGGTCGCGGTCGTCTGCACCGTGCTCCACCCCCCTGGCGCGCCTCGGGCGGTGGCAGAACCCCGCTGGGCGCGGGCTGTGGGGGGCCGAACGGCACGAGTGCCTGCGGCCCACACGGTGAAGGTATTGGATCAGGATTTTTGTCATCAGGCAGCTTAGAGGGCCGATTCACAATGTTTGAACTCGCTGGCCAGTGATCAAAACAGACAATCAGCTGTACTCGCAATCGCCTCGCTGTCAAGCCCCAGAAGCGTGGTCCCTGGAATGGGTAAAACAGCCCGCCCCCCGACGGACTGAGAACGGGTTTTCCGCGGTAACCCCCTCAGTCGAGGCGCCGCCTGAAACCGAAACTCTCTCGCGAACTCTGACCTCCCCGGTACCACAATCGGCCGGGGCGGAGGGAGCTCAAAGACGCGAGGGCTTGACCCAGACCCGGCCCGCAGCATCGAGCATCGAGCAGTAGCAAGAAAGGGGGGATGGGGGGGGGGCGAAGGCCGAGCCTGGTGGCGCTTTCGGGCCCTGCCGTGAGCCAACGGCGGCTCGTCGGGCCGAGTCGGGCACCCCCCAGAGCGCTCTCGGCGAGGCCCAGCCGCTGAAATGCATCCTGACGCCAGAAAACATCCAAGAACGAGCGAGGGCTGCCGAAACCATGGAGGCGGCCAGGGGGTCTGAGCTGGACAAGCCCATAGAAGGTATGCTAAGAGGGGGGGCGGAAGCAAATTCGCGCAGAATCGGTCCCCAAACCCGTCCTGGGGTCGATCTGACCAGTTCTCCGACCCGGGCTGAGTTCAGCCATGGCGATGGGGGCCCCGTTCTCCCTTCCTTCTGCTGGCCGGAACCAGTGCTGGGGCCACCTCGGCCCCCCACCTGGCTCCAACACGGAGACCACCGCACGGAGTATGGAGCGGCCCCGCACCGCGCTTTCTTTCTACCAGCGAATGGGCGCCCAGTGGCGAAGTGCACGGGGACGACACGACACGACGACGAAAACGACGGACGGCAGGGGGACGACACGAAGACGACGGACGACACGGCACGACGAGCGGCCCCGCACCGCACTCCTTGCCGGCCGCGCTGCAGAGGACCCAGTACTCGTCCGACTGCTGCGACTGCGTGGCCCTCAGGCACTTCCTGCCGCCCTGCACGTAGCACCACAGGTGCCCCTGGCAAGGGGGGGGTGGGGCTGGCTGCCCGCCGCCGCGGTCCTGCGCTGGGCCCAATGCTTGGGGCCCCCAGGAGGCCGCTTGGCAGCCTCTTGGGGCAGCTTCGGGGCCTCTCGGGGGTCTCTCGGGGCATCCTGGGAGCTCATCGGGGGCCTACTGGCGGTCTCGGGGGTCGGGGGTCGGGGGTCGGGGGTCGGGGGTCGGGGGACGGGGGTCGGGGGTCGGGGACCGGGGGTCGTCGTCGTCGTCGTCGTCGTCGTCGTCGTCGTCGTCGTCGTCGTCGTCGTCGTCGTCGTCGTCGTCGTCGTCGACGACCTTGGCCAAGCCAGTCCTGGATCCAGACCGAGGTCGGGCATGTCCCCCTACAAGCGGATTTGAGGCGAACAATAAAAGCTACTCAAACAATATTCAAAATTACGCAAAAAACATCGTCCCCATACTATGTTTGACTATCGTTGAATATTCCTCGTGTAGAGGGACAGGCCCGACTTAGACCCAGACACGTTGAACTAATAAGGATAACAATAACAATAATAATCCCAATAATAATGATAGTAATAATCATAATACTACTAATAATAATAAGAAGAAGAAAAAGAATGATAATAATAATACAAATAGGAACAACAACAATAGTAATAATAATAATAATAATAATAACAATAATAGTAATAATAATAGTAATAATAATAATACTGATAATAATAATAATAATGATAATAATATTAATAATAATAATAATAATAATAATAATAATAATAAACATGTGCCTGAAATACAGGGGAATACTAAAACATCGTCCCCAGACAATTGTTTTACTATGTTTGAAGATTCCTCCTGTAGAGGGACGCGCCCGACTGAAACCCAGACGCGGTGCGTACGCCTGCCACCGCCACCGCCACCGCCGACGACGGCGAGAGGCGAGCAGCCCCCCCCTCCTCCTCCTGCTCCTCCTCCTGCTGCTCCTCCTCCTGCTGCTCCTCCTCCTGCTGCTCCCCCTCCTGCTGCTGCTCCTCCTTCTCCTCCTCCTCCTCCTCCTCCTCCTCCTCCTCCTCCTCCTCCTCCCCCTCCTCCCCACTCTCCTCCTCCCCCTCTCACCCTCCTCCTCCTCCTCCCCCTCCTTCCTCCTCCTCATCCTCCTCCTCCTCCTCCTCCTCCTCCTCCTCCTCCTCCCCCTCCTCCGTCTCCGCCCCCCCTCGGGCCCGAGCAGCTGCGCCCAGGCGGCTGCGGGAGGCGAGCCCCGGCAGCCCTCGACGGGGCTGCAAGCCCATCTGGGGCGCGTTTTGGCGGAGGAGGAGGAGGAGGAGGAGGAGGAGGAGGAGGAGGAGGAGGAGGAGGAGGAGGAGGAGGAGGAGGAGGAGTATTGAGGGGGAGGAGGAGGAGGGGAGGAGGAGAGGAGGAGGAGGGGAGGAGGAGGGAGGAGCAGGAGGAGGAGGAGGAGGAGGAGGAGGAGGAGGAGGAGGAGGAGGAGCCTGTCCCCCTACAGGGGCATTTTGAGCGAAAAGTCAACAATACGCGAAAAATGCTCCCCAAATGACTCGAAATAGCCAAGAAGCGTCCCCAGACTACTTTTTAAAACTATGTTTGAAAATTCCCCCCTGTAGAGGGACAGGCCCGACTTACCACAAGGGGGTGGAGGGAGGGGGGAGGGCTTCTTAGAAGGAGGTGCCTTCTTAGAAAGGCGCCAGCCTCACATCTATAGACAAGGCCCGCGCATTCTAAGAAGCAGGTGTGCTTCTAAGAAGCCCTCCCCCCTCCCCTCACCCCCCTCTGCGCGCGGCTGAGCGTTGCCCAGAACCCCGACGTCATTAACGTCGACCCTCAGAGGTCTCGATCCCTTCCCCGGGACCAATTTTTCATCCCGAGTTGTTCTTGACGGTCCTGCGGGCCGGTACGGGCCTCCAAAGGCCGAAAAGAGCGAAAAACCTCCCGTCGTGATTTTTTGTCACAACTCGAGGGGGTCTCGGAATCCAGGGCGCGTTGCGGCAGGCCACGTGCCATTGCACTGGCTTTGCAGACGTGCTGCAGCGGATTTCTGCGTGGATTTCTGCCCGAAGCGGCGAGCGAAAAACGAAGTGAATTTCGCGTGGATTCTTGCGGGTCTTCATTCCCGGCCAACAAAAATCCGCGCGAAGTCCACCTCGAACTCTGGAACGAAACTCTCCAAGACACTCTGGGCCCACCCCATCGTTTTCCGAACGGAGTCCGCTCTGCGATCCCAGACCCCCGACGTCATGATTTTTTCATGACGTCGACCCCTAGAGGTCTCGACCCATTCCCCAAGACCAGTTTTTCCTCCTGAATCGTTCTCTGACGCTCCCGAGGCCCGGTGAGGGCCTCCCGAGGCCAGAAGTGGCGAACAGCCTCGCGCCGTGCTTGCTTTTTTCACAGCGCGAGGGGGCCTGGGATGCTCGGGAGCGGCCAAGAGGGGGGTGTCCAAGAGGGGGGGGTGCAAAACATTACCGGCGGCATGTGCGCGGCCCAGCGGGGGGGCCAGGGACGTAATGGAACAAGAAGGGGCGCCATGAAATCTGGGGAGATATCATGGCCCCCGCCATGATGATATCCCCCCCCCCCGTCATCACCCCCTCTTTGCCGCTCCCGAGAGGGGGCCTGGGATGCTGGCGCCGTGACGCGTGCCGGGGGCGGCGCCCGGCGGGGAGGCCGCCCCCGGTGAGGCCGCTGCAGGGCTGCCTCTCCGGGGGCCGCGCGCGCGCGGCCGCGGGGCCTGGCTTGTCGCGGCCCCCGCCCCAGAGGCCTCGAAGGGGGGCCTCCGCGCGAGCCTTGTGCTCTGCCAGGAGTGCGGGAGGAGGAGGAGGAGGAGGAGGAGGAGGAGGAGGAGGAGGGGGAGGAGGAGGGGGAGGAGGAGGAGGAGGAGGAGGGGGGGGAGGAGGAGGAGGAGGAGGGAGGAGGAGGAGGAGGAGGCAGGAGGACGAGTGAGGAGCAGGCGGGGGCAGGGAGAGGAGGAGGCGGAGGAGGAGGAGGAGGCGGAGGAGCGAGGAGGGGAGGAGGAGGAAGGAGGACTCTTGGTGCTGGTGGAGTCTCGGAGCTCCAGACATGCTCGCGCCGCAAGAAGAGCTCGCGCCGCAACAGGACTCAAGGCGGGGATTTTTGCCGCCGCTCTTTCGGCCTCTGGGGCCCCTCGCCCGGGGCCCAGGGTGAAGAGCCGTCCCTGGGAGAGGGCCGGGACTTCCGGGGACGCCGCACTGAAACAAAAACAGGACGTCGGCTGTCTGGGTCCCCAGGCCCCCTCGCGCTGCGAAAAAAACACGACGAGAGGTTTTTCGTTACTCTCGGCCTCAAAGGGCCCTCACCGAGCCTCGGGACCGTCAAAAAACAACCTCTGGGGGTCGACGTTGCGAAAAAAACACGACGTCGGGGGTCTGGGTATAGGGCCCCCCCGCGCCAACAGGAAGCCCCACTGGGGCCGGAGCCGTCCCAAACTCTGCCATCCCCAGACAGCCAGCGATACGAACTTTTCAGTGCGCAGCCCCAGGGAATGCCCGACGCCTTCCCAGGGGGTAGCTTTTTCGTGCCGCGCCCAGTGGCCGCGAGTGCTGGACCACGGGCCCGCAGAGAGAGGCCGAGATCGAGAGAAAGAAGACGCCGGGACTGAACACATCATTCCGTAGGGCACGTGGGGCTTCGACGCCGACGATGGGAGCTCCGAGGATGGACAATTGACGTCCACCGGCCTGGCTGCCGGGCGTGAAGGTGCAGCCGTTGTAGACATGGCTGTCGTAAGACCAACTGGCCTTGCACTGGCAGATGTCGTCGGCTCGCACCTCGCATGCTGCGAGAAGACGGGGCGGATAAGGAGGAGGGCGAGGAGCCGGAGCATGAAGGAGGCAGGAGGAGACGGAGGAGGAGGTGGATGAGCAGGAGGGTAGAAAGAAGGAGGGGGGGATAAGGAGGACGAAAGGGTGAGCGAATCAAAAAGAGTAGCCAACCCTGGTCATCTTCTTATAATACTCTCGTCCTTCTTCGTCCCTCTCTCTCTCTCTTCTCTATCACTTATCTGTCTCTCTTTATGTACACCTCCATCGGAGTATGTTTTGCTAGCTCCCTCTGTGTCTGCTCTCTCTCTCTCTCTCTCTTGATAGATATACATACGTGCACTCACACGTCCATATATATATATATATACCTCTACGTATCTCTCTCTCTCGTTCTCTATGTTTGTTTCTCTCTCTCTCTCTTTCTTTCTCTCTCTCTCTCTCTCTGTCTCAGTCCCTCCCTCTCTCTCTCTCTCTTTCTCATCCTAACGATAATGATGGTGCTGGTACCACCCTTGCTTGAATATGTTCATTCTCGCACTAGTGCCCGTTGGATGGTGTCCTGTCGCGTAAGCCGTATGATGCCGCCATTGTTGCGGTTCCTCGTGTCTGCCCTACCACCCACATTATAGCTGATGCCCGGGTGCCATACACGTGTTGCGGTTTCTATCGTTGCTGCACTTGTGCCCTACTGCTGGTGCCTTATGGGCAGCGCCCTATAATGCCTCACTTCTCGCTCCCTGCCCCCTGGTGGCCTCTGGGGGGGTGTGAAGGCCTGCGGCCCGTGCCCTATGAATGAAGTTCGGCTTCCCCCAGGCAGTGCTTTGCACGCACTGCCGGGAGCGGAGCTGGGAATGTGTGGTGCGATCGCTCGTTTTCGCCCTGGTGCTTCACGAATGGGGCTGCATGGCTGGTGCTCTTGATGACCCACTTGGTGTGATTTCTGGTTCTCGCCGTTGTGCTCTGTGGGTGGTGCTCCATTAGCTGCGGTGTCTTGTTCTTGCCCTGGTGCTCTTTGAGACTTTGAATGGCCTTCTTGTGCGCATAATTTGCTGAAGTGTCTTGTTCCAGCCCTGGTGCTCTGTACGTAATGCTCCATGCCTGGTGCTCTATTGCACCCTATTTGTTGCATATTACGCAGCCCTGCAGACCCCTGCAGGATGGCTGGTCCCCCTTCCTGCAGTGGTGCTTGGGTGGGGAGCCCGTCTGAGGGCCGACGTCTAGGAGGAGAAGGGGGATACATACAGGCGAAGCATGGCCACAAGTGCCTGGGTCGAGAATGTGGCCCAATGGAGATACCCGGAACGAAGGGCATTCCAAGGTTGAGAGCCCGACGACCGCGAACAACATAAGTACAACTCTCCAAAGCTGGGGTCGCTCCCAGACCTCGATCCAGCTGCAGGAGGCGACGAGCGCACAAGCGACGGCGGAGCGGATCGGTAGAAGGGGGGACGAAAAGAGTCGCGGCTGCGCTCCACTTGCCCCCTTCCCACCCCCCGGGAGCGAGCCAGCCCAGGTCGGTAGTGGAGGGGACGGCTCTGGCCGAGCGGCCCCCTTCTCCTCATCCTCCTCCTCTTCCTCCTCCTCCTCCTCTTCCTCCTCCTCCTCCTCATCCTCCTCTTGCGCCTCCTCCTCCTTCTCCTTCTCCTCCTCTTCCTCGTCCTCCTCCTCCGCCTCCTCCTCCTCCTGTTCCTTCTCTTTCTCCTTCTCCTCCTCCTCCTCCTCCTCCTCCTCCTCCTCCTCCTCCCTCCCCTCCTCCTCCTCCCCCTCCATCCTCCTCCTCCTCCTCCTCCTCCTCATACTCCCCCTCTCCCCTCCCCTCCTCCTCCCCTCCTCCTCCTCCTCCTCCTCCTCCCTCCTCCTCCTCCTCCTCCTCCTCCTCCTCCTCCCCCTCCCCGCCGGGGCCCGCAGCCCGGCGGGCGCGGCGCGCGGCCTCGTCCTTCGAGGGCACGATCGCGGGGGTATTGACCCCCGCGAAGGGGAGCCCGAAGGAGCCCTCGGAGGGGCCCGGGATGTCCAAGCACGTGGGCGTGTGCCGGTGCACGCAGCACCACTCCTGCCGCGCGGTGGGAGCCTCCTCCTCGTTCTTCTTGTCCTCCTCCTCCTCGTTTTCGTCCTCCTCCTCCTCCTCGTTTTCGTCCTCCTCCTCTTCCTCCCCTTCTTCCTCCTCTTCCTCTTCCTTCTCCTCCTCCTCCTCCTCTCCTCCTCATCCCTCCTCCTCCTCCTCCTCCTCCTACTCTTCCTTCCCCCTCCTCTCCTCCTACTCCTCCTCATCCCCTCCTCCTCGTCCTCCTCCTGCTCCTCCTCTGCTCCTCCTCCTCCTCCGCCACCTCCTCCTCCTCCTCCTCCTCCTCTTCCTCCTCTTCCTCCTCATCACCATCACTCCTCCTCTACCTCATCACCATCACCATCACCATCACCATCACCATCACCATCACCATCACCATCACCATCACCATCACCATCACCATCCTCCTCCTCCTCCTCCTCCTCCTCCTCATCCTGATCATCATCATCATCATCATCATCATCATCATCATCATCATCATCATCAGCATCATCAGCATCATCATCATCCTCATCATCCTCATCATCCTCATCATCCTCATCATTATCATCCTCAGCCTCAGCCTCATCCTCATCCTCATCATCCTCATCATCCTCATCAGCATCATCAGCATCATCAGCATCATCAGCATCATCAGCATCATCAGCATCATCCTCATCATCCTCATCATCCTCATCCTCATCCTCATCATCATCATCAGCATCATCGTGATCATCATCAGCAGCATCATCAGCATCATCAGCAGCAGCATCAGCATCATTATCATCATCAGCATCAACAGCATCAGCATCATCATCATCATCAGTAACATCATCATCATCACCACCATCGCCATCATCGACAGCATCATCACCATTGTCATCATCATCAGCAGCAGCAGCATCATCATCACCATCAACATCATCATAATCAGCATCAGCAGCAACATCATCAGCATCAGCATCAGCACCAACATCAGCATCATCATCATCATCATCATCAGTATCAGTATCAGTATCAGTATCATCATCATCATCATCATCGTCATCATCATACTATTCGTCATCAGTACCATTATCTTCGTCATCATCATCATCATCATCATCATCATCATCATCATCCTTCATCCTTCATCCTCATCCTTCATCCTTTATCCTTTTCCTCTTCCTCTTCCTCCTGCCCCCTCTCCTCCTCCTGCTCCCTCCTCGGCGCCGCCTCCTCTCCTCCTCCTCCCTCCTCCTGCCTCCTTCCTCCACGCGGCTTCCAAAGGGCTCGGCATGATCCTGAAGGCCTCCGAGTCGGGCGGCATCCCTGGGGAAAGACTTGTCTGGGGTAAGACAAAAGCACATGGGCTCGCCCAGGATCCCCAACAAGGCCCACATGAGGAACTCCTGCCACGAGCTCTCGGGACCCCAAATCCTCAGTAACATGGAGCAGGAGCGTCTCAATCAGTTTCGGGACAGGAGACAAAGTTACTCGATGCCGAGGAACGCGGCGGGACGGCGCGTGACGTCGCGCTGGCGCACTGGAGCGCTGCCATCAGTTGGCCATGGGGCCGCTGTGGCAGGTGTGAGCGATTCTGCATTCCGCGAGCTCAAAATGTTCGCTGCTGTTCTTAATGGGGCTCCTGGCAGATCGTCCACGGGGGTCACGGCATACCTCATCAGTCACCCCAATGACATGTATGACACAGTGTACCACGCCAGCCTGCAGGTTGCCCTCAGGTTTGCTGAATCGATATGGGACTCCAGGGTCCAACCGAGTCGCTTACGTCATGCTTGGGTTCGGCTGGGGGAGAAGTTCGAGGACAAACCTCCCTGGGCCCAGGTTAGAGGACCCCTGGGAGCTGCGCGGCGATCGCTTCGGAGGATTGGTCGGGACCTCGTGTCGGGTCACGTGGCAGCCGACCTCGGCAACACGCACGATTTGCGCATCACGTGCCCAACGGATTTCAAAACGTTCCCGATCGAGGGCGTCCAGAGGTGCCGGCACGAGAGAGGCGCCCCTGCTCGGCACCGTCGCCGCGCCGTCCCGTGAAGGGCACTCGGTGTGCGCGGAGGCTCGGAGCGCTGCACAGGCTCCCTGGGCAGCGGGGCTGACCATACACCGTGCTTTCCGTTTTCGTTTTGTTTTCGTGCTCCCTCGCTTTTGTCGCGAATCCGCCTTCACCGCAGAACGAAGTCGAAACGAACACGGCCCACGAAATCACCCAAAAAACACCGTTTAGGTCCAGCCCTGCGGGGCGGACGGCATACCCATTCCTGTTCGGCTTGATCTGCGGGCTGGAGGCCCACTCGGACCGTGTCGAGGGTGCGGGAAGCGCATGGACAAATGTTCTGGGCACATCCTGTATGACTGCCAGCCGCTTCTGGAGGGGAACCCCGAGGAGGAATGCAACTTGCTTCCAGAACAACGGTCAATGGCTAGGGACCGGCTTGTTCAGACCGGCATGGGTCTTGGGCAACAGTCTTGGGATAACACGTACCTCGTCCACGGGGTTCCTGAGCCCCCAGCAGGTGTGCCCAACTTGAGAGTGAGTTCGAAGGTATTCACCTGGGGAAGCACGGAGGGGTCTCGGGGGAAGAAGTCGTACACGGACGGGTCGGGGTTTGCTTGGAGCACGCCAGCAACCTCGAGGTGTGGCAGGTCAGTCTGCCAGCTCGACCCAGAGACGTTCTTACCCGCCAGGGCCGTCCATGGCCCGCTGCCGCACTTGTTCCAGACCGTAGGGCGTGCAGAGAGAGGTGCAGTCATGATTGGACTCAAATACCAGCCCGACCACGAGCTGTTTGTTTCGAACCTCAGTTGGATGGACTAGGAAGGGTTGAGTTGGGAGAAGTCCTTGCAGCATGGTCGAGCCAAGCACGCCAGGGTCTGGAGGGATATTCTCGCCGCGGCCAATGCCCGTTCTCCTGCTTTAGCTCCTGCCACTTTTCGTGGGCACCTGCACACCGTGACATCGTCGACGGGGTGGTGGAGGCTGACGGCTGCTTCGAAGATTGGCTCGGCAAAACCTGGGCAGATTTGTTTGGGATACGTGAAGCAGCCTCCCATATGGTGGCCGAGACAGTCAACGAGATTATACGGTATCGCGTTGGCCGAACATATAAGAAGGTGTTGGGGTACATCGCGTGGGCCGTCCACCAAGTCATTGTCTTCCACCAGAAATGCGATCGTGATTCTTCCCTGAGGCGAAAGCCCCCGAGCTCGGATATCCTGTGCTGTTTCAGCGTGCGGACAACCACGGGATGTGGTGGTGCAAAAACTTGGGCAGCTGGTCGTGTCTAGCCTGTGGTGGGACCAGTGCACGTGCGGAGCCGTCTCTGAGGTATCTCAGAGATGCTGGTGGGCGCAAATTGTGCCCCGAGTGCTGACGCACGTGCCCTGGACTCTGAGTTGATGAGAACGTCTACTGCGCGGCGGGAGCCACTGAGTGATCCCCGCTTGGCCTCTGCCCTAAGCTGCCGCCGAGGCCCCACTAAGAGCCCCAACTGGTGGAGCCCCCTCCCGAGACCCCTCCCGCGAGTCCTGGGGCCGCCGGCGTGCCTCCCCAACAGCTGCAGGTCGACGGAGCTTCGAGCGGCGGTGCTGAAGCCCTCGTCGCAGAGTTCGGAGCCTTGGGGCATGATGCTTGTTATGTGAATTCGGTTTGCTGCTACCGCCGCTGTGCTGGTCGCTGTAATTCGGGTTTCGTGCGCTCCGCGAAACAGTTCCGATCCGTGTCGACAGGAACAGCCGTGGGCGCATGCCCCGTCGGAAGGGAGGAGGGGGAGGAGGGGGAGGAGGAGGAGGAGGAGGAGGAGGAGGAGGAGGAGGAGGAGAAGGAGGAGGAGGAAGAGGAGGAAGAGGAGGAGGAGGAGGAGGAGGAGGAGGAGGAGCCCTGGTGCCTCGGACCCTCCTGCGGGGCTCCCGAGGCCCAAACAGCTCCTCGGAGGCGGGGACTCTCCCGGGGCCCCGCTCCCCCCCCTGGGCCAGGTGCCTGATCGGCCTGGCCTCTCAGGCCGTCCTCGCCTTACCCTGGGGTGCGCTTGCTCGTCGGCCGCGCTCTTGGCCGCCCTGCCCTGCCCCCCCGACGCGCGGCGGGGCCCTTTGGCTCCCTCCACCGAGGGCAGCGCCGCGCCCTGCAGAACCGGAATCAAGCCTCCCCCTCCTCCAGGGCACGCGGGCGTGTGCCGGCTCACGCAGCACCCCTCCCTTCGCGCGGCAAGGCTTCCTCCTCCGTGCTGCTCAGGCCTTCGGCCTCGGCTGCCTCCCAGGAGGCTTCACGTCGCCACGCCCGGGTTCCCGTCGAAATCCTACTCCGACCGCACCACGGGAGAAGTCCGGGGGTCGAGTGTGAGGACGCTTGCCGCCGCCCCCGCAGGCTCACGCAACACCGCTCCTGAGCGCAGCAGGGCTCGCAGGGGTCCTGAGGGGAACGCGTCGTGGAGGGACGTTTCGCAACCTTCGGCCTCCTGGGGCCTCCCCCGGCCCCGAGACCGGCAACAGAACGACTCAGGACGGAGTGCTGGTCCTGGGGGGGATGCACCCAGGGCCTGGGGCCCGTTTCCCTTGAGACCCGCTGCCTTCCGCGGCAGCCCGCGCGGCAGGGTCTCCTCCGTCCGCAGCCCTGGCACCCGTCCATATTCTGGACGACAGGCAGGCGTGTGCGGGCTGAGGCTGCAGTCTGCGGGAAGCGACCGCCCGCTCAGCCCCGCGGCTGCGCAAACCTGGGCACTGGCCCGGCCCGTCTTCGAACCCGGCCGGGCCCGCGCTACTCCTGCACGGGGGCTTCCTCCTCTCTCCTCGGCGCCGCCCCCGCCTCTCTTTCCCTCCTGCTCCTCCTCCTTCTCCTCCTCCTCCCTCCTCCTCCTCCTCTCCTCCTCTTCCATCCACCTCCTCCTCCTCGTCCACCTCCTCCTCCTCCTCCTCCTCCTCCTCCTCTCCTCCTCATCCCCCTCCTCCTCATCCTCATCTCATCCTCATCCTCCTCATCCTCATCCTCATCCTCATCCTCATCATCATCATCATCATCATCATCATCATCAGCATCATCATCATCATCATCAGGATCATCATCATCACCACCACCATCATCATCATCACCACCATCATCATCATCGTCATCATCATCATTATCATCATCATCATCGTCATACTCATCTTCATCATAATCATCATCATCACCATCACCATCACCATCACCATCACCATCACCATCACCATCACCATCACCATCATCATCATCATCATCATCATCATCATCATCATTATCATCCCTCCTCCCTCCACCCTCCTCCTCCCTCCTCCCCCTTTGCTACTCCTTATAAATAACTCTTCCCTGTCGCACCCCGAAGGGCGTCGGTTGGGCGGGCCGGGCGTTTCGCCTGAGACTTCCTCACCATGTTTGATCCTTCAGATGAAATTGTGCAACAGCTTCACGATTGAAGGGCGTTTTGAAAATGTCGCTCTCACCGTAGCACCGCGCACATTCGTCTTATGAGTTCGCAAGAGCTTCAAGGATGAAGGGCGGCAGGTGGTTTTCAAAATGTGGCTCTCGCCTTCGCGCCGCGCACATTCGTCTTAGAAGTTTGCGAGACCTTCAAAGGATGGAGGGCGGGTGCTTGTTATGTGGATATGCATTTATCGCCGCGCACATTCGTTTTCAAAGTTTGCACGAGCTTCAAGGATGAAGGGCGGTTCGTTTTCAAAATGCGGCCCTCTCATCATCGTCGTGCTCGTTCGTCTTAGAGTTTGCAAGAGCTTCGCGGATGGAGGCCGGGTGGTTTTCAACATGTCGCGGTCGCCATAGCGCCGTGCACATTCGCTTTGAAAGCTTACAGCATATTCTAAGGTGTTCATGGCTAGCGTTGTTGGCACGACTGTCAGGCAACAGTTACGTTGATTCGTTGTGCCCAAGTCCCTGGAATGGTGTTCTAACGCGATTCAGTATCGTCAAGACGCAACAGTAACGGTGAATCGCGGCGTTGAAGTCGTCCCAGGAATGGTGTTCTGGCGCAGTTCAAGGATTATGAAGCGGATGTCTTCCACCGGGGCACTTTCCTCAGTGACATGTATTCCTTGTAGGGGCCTATGAAGAGGGAGCTTGAAGGGAGGGTGTATTGCAATATCGTTGACGAGTCTTGGGTTTGCACTGGTCCTCCTCCTCCTCATCCTCTTCCTCCTCCTCCTCCTCTCCTGCGCCTCCTTCCCCTCCTCCTGCTCCTGGCCCCGACCCCCCTCGCCTGCTGCTGATCTGTCGCTGGTGCTGCTGCGCCTCCTCCCCGCTACTCGTCATCGCTCCTTCTCCTCCTTAGCCGCCTCCCTTCTCTTCCTCCTCCTGTGCCTCCCTCCTCCTCCTCCTCCTCCACCTCCTCCTCCTCCTCCACTCCTCTGCCTCCCTCCCTCCTTCTTACCCTACCCCTCCTCCCGCCGCGCGGCCGCCATCTCCTCCTCCTCCTCCTCCTCCTCCTTCTGCTCACCCTCGATCCTCAGCCTCCCTCCTCCTCCTCCTCCTCCTCCTCCTCCTTCTCCTTCTCCTCCACTGTCCCCGTCGCCCTTCCCCCGCGCGATGTCCGAAGGTCATGCTGGGCGCAACAAGGAACAGCAGGTTTGGGGAGACAAGTGTGTATGGGGAACCGCTTCCTCTTCTTCCCTTAAAAGGCCCGGGGGCACCCGAGTGGGTTCCCACCCCCGTCACCAAGGCACCAAAGGGGACCCCGGGGCGTTGGTGTGGTCCCGAGTCCCTAACCACAAAAAACGCCACCTACCGGACACAGCCTCTTGGAGAACTGGTCCCGTGGTTTTCCGTTTCGAACTGTAAATTCGAATGGTGCAAGGAGAAATGCAGAGGACGAAAGAGAGGGGCGAGTAAGAAGGCGGAGGCGAAGCGCTAGGCGCGTGCGGCAGCGGGGGGGGCCCGGCAGGGGCAGGGAGAGGAACGGAGAGGGGCGGCCGGGGGCAGGGGCGGTCGGGTCGGCGGTGGTAATGGCAATGGTGGTGGTCATGACGCCGTCGTGCAAGCCGTGGTCGTGGTCGTGGTACTGGTCGGCGGTGGTCGGCGGTGGTGAACGTGCCAGCGCTGGTCGTGGTCGTGCAATTTGTGGTCGTGGGGGTCGTCGTGTTCCGAATCGTCGTCGTGGTGGTCGTGGTGGCGGCAATGGTTGTCGTGCTGGTGGCGGGCGTGGTGGTCTCCCCCTTCTCCTCCTCCGTCTACCGCCACATCCTCTTCTACTGCCTTCCCCTCCGGCTGCTGCTCCCGCTCCTCCTCCTCTTCCTCCACCTCCGCCTTTTCAGCTCCTCCTCGTCCGCCTGTTCCTCCGTCTCCACCTGCTCCTCCGCCCCCTCAATATCGTTCGCCCATTCCGCTCCAATGACCATCTTCACCTTCACCGTCGCCCTCCTCATCCTCCGCACCACGTCGTCGTCGTCGTCGTCGTCCTCCTCCTCCTCCGCCTCATCCTTATCCTTCTCCTCTCCCCCTCCCACTCGCACTCCCACTCCTCCTCCTCTTTCTCCTCCTCTTTCTCCTCCTCCTCCTCCTCCTCCTCCTCCTCCTCCCTCAAATCAGTGCGAAGGAGCTCCTTCTTCAGGTCCGACCAGTCCTGTGCCCAGTTGGCAAAACCCTCCTCGCAATTAATCAGACTGCTGATGTTCCACACGCCGTCCTCGGCAACAGGGGGAGAGAAACAACTGGCGAGAGCTGCAAGGCACATCGTCCTCGACATCCGTTTCATCCTCCTCGCACCGATGCTGCCGCTGCTGCTGCATCATCGTCATTCTCCCCGTCGTCATCATCGTCATCGTCGTCGTCGTCCTCGTCGTCGTCCTCGTCATCACCCTCATCATCCTCATCCTCCTCCTCCTCCTCCTCCTCATCATCATCATCACCACCACCATCACCACCGTCATCGTCGTCGCCGTCGCCATCAGCATCAGCATCAGCATTATCATAAACATCAGCATCAGCATCAGCATCATCATCATCATCACCATCATCATCATCATCATCATCATCATCAGCATCAGCATCAGCATCAGCATCAGCATCATCATCATCATCATCATCATAATCATCATCATCATCACAATAATCATCATCATCGTCATCATCATCATCATCATCCTCATCCTCATCCTCATCCTCATCCTCAACCTCATCCTCATCCTCATCCTCATCCTCATCCTCATCATCACCACCACCACCACCATCATCATCATTGCCATCATCCTCATCATCACCACCACCATCATCACCACCTCCATCATCATCATCATCATCATCATCATCAGCAGCATCAGCATCAGCATCAGCATCATCATCACCATCACCATCACCATCACCATCACCATCACCATCACCATCATCATCATCACCACCACCATCATCATCATCATCATCATCATCATCATCATCATCATCATCATCATCATCATCATCATTATTATCATCACTGTCTAATTGGTGCTGTCAACCTTTGCCGCTGCCGCTGCCGTTTCCGCCGTCGCCACCAGCCTGCTCCTCCTCCGCGCCCCTCGCCGGACGCTGGAGCGAGGGTGCCCAGCGCCCCCTCCTGTTCTCCCCAAGGAACAAAGAGGAGGAGGAGGAGGAGGAGGAGGAGGAGGAGGAGGAGGAGGAGGAGGAGGAGGAGGAGGAGGAGGAACATGAACCTGAGCATGACTACATGACAGCGTCAAGTCTGCAACCGCGGCCGGCATCCCCTTGGGCGTGTGAGCTACACTGGGGTGCCTCTGGCACGCTTCTCCGCTGCACTTCGTGCCTTGGGCCGTTGGCCCTTGGTCATTCTCGTGAGTTCCTCAACCCTGTGGTGAGCCACTACCTCGAGACAAGGCTTGGTGAGCTCACGTGGCTGCTTGCTGGCGTAGCAGCCGCAGCTTGCACAATACCATAAACACATGCCACCATGAAGCTGCATCTTAGGGGACTCATGCACCCATCCGCCTGCTATGTGAAGCCTGGCCTGTGGAGGTTTCTTGAAAATGATACCGTCGTGGTTAAGCATAGCAAAGCATTGCGATTGGTGCCACTCGGTGAGTGCTCTTTGACGCCGAACCCCCACATCTCGCGCAGCCTCGACCGCTGTCGTCGAGGGCGTGGGTGGACGAGACAAGGGCGAGGGAGGCAGCAGCAGGTGGGGCGGGGGGAGGCGAGGTGCGCTTTTTTCCTCCTCTAGACTCCCCTTGGCCGTCTGTGGGCCTATCCTTCAATTCGGCGGTGAAAAAATCGAGCGTAGCTTTCAAAATTCGCATGCGAACAAGACGGGCCCTCCATTCGTGCATGAGAACGGAGTGGCGGCAAGCTTCGGGCAGGTGAGCTTCGCTAGCAACGGTGCCTGCCACTGTGTCCACAGTAGCATTGGCCGTGATGGCCCAGCGTTTGCTAGGATCTCGAGCAGTGTCCTCAGGGGTCTGGTGAGAATGCCAGAGAACAACAGAGACTCCATGGGCGGAGCCGCACAGCACAAGCATGGATGGCACCCCTACGGCAGACGGCACGGAACCATTTTACGCAGCTCGCGGTAGGGGGGTCACTGTCGGGGGGGGACCACGCTGGGCCGCCGATGTCGGAAGCCGAGGCTCCATCACTGGGCGCGTTTTTTTTTGTGCGGCGAGGTATTCCCCGAGGGAGCCTCAAGTGATTATCACGTGGTTCGATTATTTGGAGCACATCGTCTTCGGCACCGCCTGATCCTGGGGCTTTGCCCCCTCCTGGCCTTGACGTGAGGCTCCTCCTTCTGCCCCCTCCTCTTTGTTAATTCAAGCTGTGCGCGGCCCGCTTAGCTTCAACCCGAAGAGGTGCGCTCTCGACCCGCAGATCAAAAAAGTTTCGATTATTTGGTGACCCGTCCTATGCGGCGGCCAGCGGCTGTAACCGCATGGCCGGCCGCCAGGATGTGGGTCGAGCGAGTTTTTTTGGCCAGCCTGACTCGCTCGTTGTCGCGAGTCGCCCATTCTGCAACCATCTCAGGGCTTTGCGTTGGCAGGGTCGACGTGATATGGGTGCGGCAAGCAGGGCGGCGGCTGTTGGTCACATGTCGAATAACCCGATGCCGCTCCAGAAACATAGTTTCGCACGTGGGGCAAGCGCCCGAATCGTCGATGAAAGCCTTGATCGGAGCAACCTGCTTGTGAGCGACTCTCTTATGCAATAACAAAGGTTTGTTGGACGGGAAGCTGCGGTCGCAACTATCGCACCAGAACTATACACCCGGCGGGGCATGGCAGCCTTGCGCCGCCACTTTGCCGAGCGACGGCTCTCAGAAGAGCATTGCGCTGCACCCTCGCGGGCCCGGCCACTGCCGCTCGTGCGGGAGAGCCACATGCCAGGCTGCCACGGTGCAGCCGGGCACGGCACCGAGCTCCGGCGCGGTGCGCCGGGAAAGGTCGAGGTCCGCAGTCAGCGGCGCAGCATTGTCAGGGATGGACAGACCTCCCTTTAGTAAAACGTGGATTAGTGAAAACGACTTCGGGCCCAAACCTGGCGGGCGCAAGCCTGGAAAATAACGGCCGCGGCGCCCTCTCGAAAACCGAAAACGGACAATTCACTAATCGACGTGTCAGGGTAGGAGGTCTATCCACCTCCGAAGCATAGGGCGGCGGCCGTGCACGCGGGCGCGCCTGCACGAGGGCCCGCGCTGCGCAGGGCCGGTGCGTCGCCGCTCGGCGGCGGCAGCGGAGGGCGCTCCCGCAGCGCCGGGCGGTCGACGGGCGGGGCCTGTGGTGGCCTCTGGGCGGGCAGGAGAGCCCAGAATCGAATCGATAAATCGGATCGGCAATCGACATGAATCGGGTCGGCGGAAATCGGCAGCCGAATCGGGAAAAGTCGAATCGGCGGAAATCGGCAGGCTAGTATGCCTCCAATAAGAAATCGGAATCCAAATCGGAAACCCAGGTCGAATCGAATCGGAATCGGAATCCATCGAAGTCGAATCGAATCGAATCGGAGGAATCGAAACGAGCCCTGGGCGGGGGCCGAGGAGGCAGGCGCATGCCCTGCCTTGACTCCATGGGGCCCCAGGGCACGCAAAGGAATACACGCAGGTGAGAGGATTCCCCAAATTGTCCCATGTCTTCTGGGTTTTTGCCTTCCCCCCCACTTCCCATATTTGCCCATCTTTTTTCTGAGGAGTCGACGATGAACTTTGTCTGTGTCTGTGTGTGTTTTCCTCCTCGCAGATTGCGAAGCTGTGCAGCAGTGTCGGCAGGACCAAGCTGTGAAGCAGGTGGAATTTCATGGCGCTGCCGATGGCGACCGGGGAGAACAACTTGGCCGCGATCGGGGGATGGGCAGACATTGCCGAAGACGCTCTTTGCCGCGCCTCGGGTACCATGCTGCCGCTGGCGGAGATCACACCGCCGAGGTGCTGCTACCCATCCACCACGTGCATGGCGGTCGCACCGTCGTCAAACGGGATGCGGAGCCCGTCCTCGGACCTGAGCTCCTCGATGACATTCGCGGCCCCCGGGCCGCGGCAGCGAAAGATAGCTTCGTTCTTGCCCTTCTACCAATTGATGCGAAGGCCGAACTCGGCCAACACCTTCGCGTACAAGTTGATTACTGTCCCGATGGCTTTGCGGAGCTGGGTGGAAGAGCGGGCGACTATGGCGACCGCCTCGTCGTCGACGTACATGACTTGAACCGTGCGGTTCACGATGACGGGGACGCCCTTGCTAGTTTTCAGCACGAGGGTTATGCCGGCCGTCTTGAGGCCTCTGCGTATCGCTGCCAAGGTCTCCTCGTACACGCAGCAAAAAATGAGGCCACACAATTTGCAGCCTTGGCGCCCGCCCGTGGACGTTACGACCACCCGCTCAGGCCCTTCCACTGCGAATCACGCGCGGTCATGAAAGTTCTGTGTGAGCGCAATGACCGTCGGGTCGATGTTCCAGCGTTCGAACACCGAGCCGTGCTTGTCGATGTGGGGCACTACCTTGGTTGCAGCTCTGACCGGCAGGCCGCGCTGGCGGAGGTAGCCTGCACGAGCCGCATCGCGAGCCCAACACGGGCCCGAGCATGGCGGCCAACCGTATACAATCTCCGCGTGGGAAGCAATATCCGCTGGCCCCCCTGTGGGGCCATCTGGCTGCCAGGCTGAGGTTTCCTCTCACATTCGCCAGCTCCAGCTTCCAACCTCCAATGTTCAATGTTCTACTTTCTGATTCCTACTGCAATTTGTTACTGTCCGCGCGAAGGGGGCACAAAGCCATTCTTCTACCTTCTCTTCCCAGGGTTATCAGACTTCCTTGGGGGTCCAAAGACACGAAGAAATGCAACCGTTTCGCGCTCTAGAGGCCAAACATCTTTGTAAGTTACCACGGCCTTGCGCCCCCCAAAGCCACAATCCTTTACATAAACAAGAACACGTCGGCGCTAATCAGGCCACACATTTTCGTCAGTTATGGTAAACTCGCGCTCCCGAAACCACATTCCCTCGGGCATTGCTACAGATTCGCGCAGTCGAGGCCGCAACCCATTTTTTCGCGCTTCCGAGCCACGATCCCCAATACCTTATGCCAAATTCGCACCCCCGGGGCTACGATTCCTCAAAACTTGCAGCGCGCTCGTGCTCCCCAGGCAAACAGCCTGTTGTCAATTACACCAGATACGCGCCCCAGAGGCCACGATCCATTTTAAAGTGCAATAGAATCGCGCCCCAGAATCCACGATCCCATTCAAAAATTACGCCTCATTGGCGCCCTCGACACAAAGATCCGTTGTACACTACGCCAGATATGCGCCCCGAGGCCACTATCCCTCGTCACTTACACCAGCATTCGCGCCCCCGATGCCACGATCCTTGTTAATTTGCCACATTCGCGCCCCTGCAGCATTGCATCAAATTCGCGCCCCCGAGGCTACAATCCTTTTTGCAAGTTGCGCCACCTCCGCGCTCCCCCAGGGACACGATCCTTCGTCGATGAAGGCAGGTAGACGCCCCCGATGCCACGACCCCTGGTAGATTACGCCAGGCTCGCGTCCCCGAAGCCACGATCCCTGGTAACTTACGAAGGTTTCCAAGGCCATCATCCCAAGTAATGTGCTCTAGGCTTGCGTTCCAGGGGCCACCATCCCTAATGAAATGCTCCCGATTCGCACTCCCGATTTCACAATCCGTTGGAAATTGCGACGGCCTCGCGCCCCCCGAGACCACGATCCTCTATGTAAATTAGAGCACGGCGGCGCTCAAGAAGCCGCAAGCCCTCTGGCAACACGGCAGATTCGCGCCCTTCGAGGCCACGCCCGATGGTCAATTGCGGTAAAAAATTGTGCTCCCGAGGCAACGAACCCACCCCGCGGAGGCTGCCCCAACGCGCCACCCCGTCACCAGAGCAGAAGACATGTACTTCTATGGCTTCAGAGGCCAAACAATCCACCCCCATAATGACCACCCCGACACGCGAAGTCTTTTAGTAGACGCGCCCACAGAAGGAATCGAACAGGGCACGGCTGTCTAGTAAACGCCCAGGGCTGTTTAGTAAACGCCGATTGTCCGGTCCGGGTGTTTTTTCCTCCCTTGAGGTTTGGCACACGTGTTCGAGGCACTTCTGCGCCGATTGGGGCTTCTGTGGTCTTCGCCCGCCCCCCGGCCTCTCCCGAACAGAATTCCGCGCTGGACCCGCAACCGCGAATCCTCGACGACAGCCCAGACCGCAAAGAAGCCAAAGACGGTCCCAACAGCGCGGTGTTTCCCAAGATGGCCTCAAACAACCCCCAGTCTTTCCAAGAGGGCCTTTTCTATGCGGTGTGAAGGAAACGCTCTAAGAACGCAACAAAGCGTCTAGAAAGAACTCCAACGGAGGCGCCACCCCTTACGCCGCCTCTGGCGCGCCAAAGGGGTTGCATCCGACTCCGGCCCAAGGGATCCGGGCGAACGGGAGCTGAAGCGAGAGAGCCCATCTTGGGAAGGCCTAAGCGATAAAGGATCGGATTTTTGTGTCACCTCATTGCAGGCAAATCTTGGTTCTCAAGAGCGTGTCGAAGTACAAACACAACCCCATCAGGATACATGTTAGGACCCTTCCCCAGCTCCGCTGCCCAGGAAGGGCAATTCATAGCATGACCCAAATTTGCCCTTCCCCACACCACGTTGGCTGGGGATGGGTTCAACAAAAAACTCGAATGGTTGAAAGGGGAACGGGCTTCCCGAGAGCTGGCGGCGGCGCCCAGGGGGTGGGTTCAAGACAACTCGCAGAGGGGTGAAAGGCGAACAGCTTTACCAAGGTTGGCGGCGGCCCCTGGGGTGGGTCGCGCACAGATTCCCCGATGCCTTGTCGCAGCTTGTCGCGTGCTTTCGGGCTCAAGAAAAGCCCCAAAACTGGACACGACGGCCCCAAGAGGCCCCGAAAACCGTCCAAGAGGGCTCCGAATTGCGGAAAGTCTGTCCAAGGCGCCCAGAATTGCATCAGAGACTGTTTCAAGACGGTTTCACTCGCATTATGTGCATGAGGTGGTTTTCCCATTCGATAAGGTGGTGTACTCCCTGTTAGTACGACCCCAACATGAAGTGATGTATTTCCAGCCGGTACATTCCCCGCATAAAGCAAGCACCACGCAGGTTGCCCACATGCGGGCTGGCCACCCGAAAACTGGTTGAAAGCACTTGCATTCTGGGCGCCAACATGAGGTATGCATCGAATTCCAGTAGAACTCCTGCATGACGCAGGCACCACGCAGGTGACCCGCAGGCGGGTGGGTCACCCGAGAACTGATTGAGAAACACGAGCTGTTTCACTTGCCCGCTGTGCACCAACATGAAGTGATGCAGCCCCAACCGATGCATGTCCCGCATGAAGCACGCGCCACGCAGGAGATCCACAGGCGGGTGGGTCACCCGAAGACAGGTGGAGAACAGCCCATTGATTTACTTGCATCCTGTGCCCCAGCATGAGGTGATGTATTCCATGAAGTATCCTCATCCAGGAACTCTTTCGCGCATTAAGCAGGCAGGTGCCAAGCAGGTGACCCACAGGCGGATAGGTCGCCCGAGACTGGTTGAGACAAACGAATTGTGTCACTTGCATCCTGGGCGCCAGCATGAGGCGGCGCATTCCCATCCGATACATGTCCCTCCTGAAACAAGCACCACGCAAATGACCATCAAGCGGGGGGGGCACCCAAAAACGGGTTGAGAAAAAACAGCTGTATCATTTGCATGTTGGGCCCCAGTACGGAAACATATATTCCACTCGACGACACTTCACCCATGAAACAGGCACCGCGTAGGTGACCTACAGGCAGGTGGGTCACGCGAAAACTGTTTGTGAGAAGCCAAGCGAGTCGCTTGCATTCTGGCTCCCGACATGAGGGGTACTGGCTGGGGAACACGAATTTGTTTCATGTGGTCATGGGCCCCACCATGAGGAGATGCATGCCCAGTCGATATATTTCTCGCGGGAAACATACACCACGCAGGTGACCCACAGGCGAGCGACCTCAACATTTGCTTACAAAAACTAACTGTGTCATGTGTATTCTGGGCAGCATAATGCGGTGATGCAAGATCAGTCAACACATTCCGCGCAGAAGGCAGGCACCGCGACGGTGTCCCTCATGCGGATGGGTCACCCGAAAACTCGTTGAGAGACAACATTCGTTTCACTTGCACTCTGCGCCTCGACATGAGACGATGCATTCCTATCCAATGCGCTCCCCGCGGGAAGCAGGCACCACGCATGTGACCCACAGGGGGGTGGGTCACCCGAAAAATGGGTGAACACCCAGCTATTGCATCTTCATTATGGATCCCAGCATGGGGTGATGCATTCACACCCAACACATTATGCCATGAAGCAGGGGCCACGCAGGTGACCCACATGCGGGTGTGTCACCCGAATAATGAAACAAATCTGTCACTTGCGCTCTGAGCCCCATTCGATAAAGCCCCCCCCGGAAGCAGGCACTACGTAGGTGACTTACACGCCAACAGACGGGTGGATCTCCCGAACATTGGCCCAAGGCAACAAATTATGTCACCTATGTTCTGGGACCCATCATGAGCCCCCGCATGAAGCAGGCACAACGCATGCGACCCACAGGCGGGTAGGTCACCCGACAACTGGTTGAGAAAAGCGCAGTGTTGCACTTACGTTCTAGGCCTCAACATGAGGTGACACATTCTCATGCAAAACATTTCCAGCATGAAACAGGCACCACTCAGGTGACCCCACAGGCGGGTGGGTACCCCGAAAAAGTGTCAGAGGAAACTAATCGTTCCACTTGCGTCCTGGGCCCCTACATGAGGTGACGTATTCCCAATTAAGGCATACCCTGCATGAAACGGGCACCACGCAGGTGTCCCACAGGCGGGTGGGTCACCCGAAACATGATTGAGGAACACCAGCTGTTTCACTTGCGTGCTGTGCCCCAACATGAGGTGATGTCTCACCAGGCAATACACATCCCGCATGAAGCAGACATCACGCAGGTAGCCCACAGGCGGAGGGCAAGTCACCCGAAATCTGGTTGAGCAAAACCACCGGTTTCATGTACATTCTGGGCTCCAACACGAGGTGATGCATTGCCACTCATTACAAGTCTCACATAAAAGCAGGAACCGCGTAGGTGACCCACAGGCGGGTGGGTCACTGGAACTATGGATAAGAAAATTAATTTTGTCAGCTGCATGTTGGGCCCCAACATGGGGCGATGCCCTCACATCCAATGCATTTCCCGCATGAAGCAAACACCGCGCAGGTGAACCACAAGCGGTTGGGGCTCCCGAAAATTGGCGGAGGAAAACCAATTGTGCCAGTCGCATTCTTGGCCATGGGGTGATGCGTTCCCAGCCCCAATATGGATCAACGTGTATCCCCAGTCAGTACATGTCCTGCATGAAACAGGCACCACGCAGGTGCCCCACAGGCAGGTAAGATCTTGCTGGGTCTATGTCGATCTGGAGGCTGCGCGAGGGTGTGACGCTAGCGCAGCACGAGCAGCAGGAGTCCGTTCATAGCCTCTCACTGCTCCTTCCTCCTTGCCTCCTCCTTACTTCCTCTTCCTCCTCCTTTTCCCCCTACTCCTCGTCCCCGTCCTTCTCGGCATCCTGATCACTCTCATCCTCCTCGTGATCCTCCTTGTGATCCTCGTACTCGTCATCCTCGTCCTCCATAATTCCCATCGTTCCGAATTCTCCGCCCCCCCTATCGTCACCCCTACTTCTCCTCAGCCCCACACTCCTCCTACTACAATCCTCCCCCAACATCCTTTCGGCGCCCAGCATCTGCCTCAGCCTCCGCCTCATCCTGTCGCCGCCTCCTCCTCCACCTCAACACCTTGCCTCCGCAACTCCCCCTCTCCATCCCCGCCCGCTTCTGACCCCTGCCTCCGCCCCCTCCTCCGCCCGTCGCTGCTCCCTCCTCCGCCTCAACCCCCGCCTCCGCCGCCCCGACTCTCCATCTCCGCCCGCTTCCGGCCCCTGCCTCCGCCTCCGCCCATCGCTGCCCCCTCCTCCGCCTCTGCCTCCGCCTGTCGCCGCCCCCGACCCCCGCCAGCGCGAAATCCAGCTGATAGGAGGGCTCGGGCTCGTCAGTTGTGACGGGTGGCGCCTGGCGCACGGAGGGCGCCCCCCCCTCACTGTCCTCCTCCTCGAACAGGAGGTGGAGGGAGAGAGAGAGAGAGAGAGAACAAATATATATATATATATATATATATATATATAACAAAAGAGGAGGAGAGAGAGAAGAAGGAGGAGGGCATGAATATCGAGGAGGAGGAGGTTAGACGCTGCGGAAGTTGGGAGAAGTGGGAAGAGGAAGAGGAAGATGACGAGGAGGAGGAGGAGGAGGAAGAGGAGGAGGAAGAGGAGGAGGAGGAGGAGGAGGAGGAGGAGGAGGAGGAGCCACACTCAGCAATGGGGGGGGGGGAGGGAGGTCAGACACCGCCACGGGAGCCTCACTAGCGCCAGCCCGCTCACGAAGGCGCTGCGCCCAAAGATCCTGCTCCTGCTACCACGTCGCGCCAGAGACGGGAATGCCGTGCACGCCGGCTGGCGCAGGTGGCCCACCGACTGGTGTCGCAGAGCCTGCACCTTCAGCAGCGGCGGCAGCGCGCTGGGACTCATGGTAGTGGCGGATCTGTCCCTGCTGGCTGGTCGAGAAGGTCACGGGCCCCACGAAATTGTCATCGAAGTCGAAGGGAACTGCGGCGGCGGAGGTGGCCGGATCACGATTTGATCCCTTCCCAAGACTCCTGGATCGGCGAGAACCACTCGCCGCAGAGCTGGAATGAGGATGCCGAAAAAGACTGCGACGGCGCGATTGCCTCCTCCGCGGGGAGTCCCTCGAAGAGACGGGGGAAATGAGATCCTCGTTGTCGTCCTTGCGCCTGGACTTGCCATCGTGTTTCTTGGGCCTGCGGCCGCCAGCCATGCGACATGTGTGAGCGTTGCCTCACACAGGAACTGGAAACGCCTCAGTTTACCCGCGTGGGCCGGCGCAGGTGTTTCGTCCGCCAAAAAGGAGACGGTGGTCTGGCTTCGGATGAGAATTGTCCGCTCTGTGCCCGACGGACAACATCATCTTGAACCAAAACGGCTACGGAGGAGGAGGAGGAGGAGAAGGATGAATCAGATAGGAGGGGAAATGGGGAAAGAGGAAAAAAAAAAGAGGAGGCCACTCCCTTTTCCCTCTCCTGCCTTTCCTCCCCCCCCCCCGCCCGTTTCGTCCCCTCCCCACTCGTGCCGCCCCGTCGTCGCTGTCGCAGTCGCTGTCCGCGTCGTCCCCGTGGCCTCGTGGGAAGGCTCGTCGGTGGTGGTGTTGGCAACGGGCGCCTGGCGCACGGATGACCCGTCCTTTTCCTGCTCCTCCTCGGCCTGATTCCGAAGGAAGCTGAGCTAAGTTCAGGACAGTTGCTCGTATCACGCTTCATCGCTCTGCGATCGGACCATTTCATTGCATTCCTCCCGAATGTGTTCTTCCTCCTCCTCCTGCTCCTCCTCCTCCTCCTCCTCATTTTCCTCCACCACTTGCCGCCCGCAACAGGACGGCCCTGGTCCGCCACTCCGTCCCAGGCCAGCGTCCTCTTGACGCCGGCTTGGGTGTTTTGGCTCGAACAGAAGCGGGAGGCGCCAGCGAGACACAGCGCGACGCACCCGTCACTTATGCCACCGCATGCCCGAGCCAATGCGCACTCTCTGGCCATGGATTCGCGCGCCGGCGCTGGAGGTAAAACGCTAGGATTAGGTCGGGCATGTCCCCCTACAGGCGGATTTTGGACGAAAAATAAAACATAGTCAATACATGTTCAAAACAGATTTATACAAAAAAAACAGAAAGATCGTCGCCAGACTGTTTCTACAACCATTTTTGAACATTCCCCGTGTAGAGGGACAGGCCCGACATAACACTAGGGCAAGGGAAGAGGGGCGAGGGATGGGAGGGAAAGAGACCTAGAGAGACGGGGCGAAGACCCGTGGCGCTCCGCACCACTGGCAGGGGCAGTGGCGCGGCCGTGGGGCCCGAGCAGTCGCATCCTGCCATCAGGCGCACGCGCCAGCGCCAAGAGAGGAAGAGGGGGGGAGGAGGAGGAGGAGGAGGAGGAGGAGGAGGAGGAGGAGGAGGAGGAGGAGGAGGAGGAGGAGGAGGAGGAGGAGGAGGAGAAGGAGGAGGAGGAGGAGGGGGAGGAGGAGGAGCAGGAGGAGGAGGGGGAGGGGGAGGAGGAAGATATTCGAATTCTAATTGTATCTAAGGCGGGGGTCCTGCTCTAGGCAGGCCGCTCAAACAACACATCAGCCTCTATCAGGGAACGTCGTGCCAGACTTTGGCGGCACTCCCCTCTGCAGGCGTGACAATACCTCGCGCCCAGCCTTCGAGGCGTCGCCACAAACTCCTTTCAGAATGCGCGGAGGCGCAACAGAACAATGCCCACCACAGACCGTGCAATAAAGGACACCCCGCAGGACCGATGGTCGGTGGGAGGGGCGACAGCGGTCGGCCAAGGGGCGGGCAAGGGCACCCCCACACAAGTCCGACGGCCCCAGGACGTCAGGGGCAGGGAAAGGACCATGCGCACCCTCACCTCCAGCGGCCCCAGCAGCTGGACGCGCTGCTGGATGATACATCAGGGCTTGCACGGCGTGGGCCAAAAACTAGCTAGCTGGCCCTTACGGCCATAGCTGAGCCCACACTGCCCGAACTTAACGCAGGCCTTCTGCACCGCAGGGTCATGCCCTGCATCTCGCAATCGACAAATTCGCTCGGCCAGGGGGGTGGCCACACCACGAGTTCGCCTCGGCTCACGGAGGCCACCCCGCTCACGATCCGAGGAGAAGAACACTTCCCGCTGAATGGCCAAACTCCTTTTCAAAACCTGCACTGCGAGCTCGTCGGCCCGCAAAGTTCGATGCGCATGGGTTTCGCTCAACTGGGCCTTCTCCGCAGCCCAGTCGGCGAAGCGATCGGCAGCTTTGTTGAGACAAACCTCAACGTCAGACAAACAAATGCTTTCGGCCTGGGCTTGGGTGGGGTGTCCCTTTGTCCAGATCAGTCGGAGTGAACCCCCTCGTTCAGAAAGCGCGCGGTGAAATTCAGCCCAGAGGTCCAGCATGCTCGATTTTCGTTTTGCCAGGAGGCTCTTCCTAACACCCTTCACGACAAGCAGGCGGTCGCAATAAACACGGACGTCGCCGACACTAGCGCGCAAGAGCTTCGACGAGGGCAAAGAACTCGGCTCTCGGCGACGATCGGCGCGCGCACGGCAAAGAACCACGCCTCGTAGCATCGATCCCGCCGTCGGGCCCAAGGTGCCACGAACGACCGGCCACATCTCCTCAGCCCCCAATCTTTCGAGAACTTGCCCCCGGGCCCATACATCCCCCACGCGCCCCCACGGATGGGCCCCCCCTCGACGCATCTCCCCCAACCCCACGCCAACAGCAGGAGATGTGGGAGGTGGCCCAAGGAGTCGCCCAACGACGGGAACCCTCGACACCAGAAGCTCACCTTGTCGTTTTCAGCGACGGCCCTAGGGGCAAGGGGATCGGTCATCTCAATGGCATGGTCAGGCACATCTCGATTGCACTCGCACTGCCAATATCTCTGCAGCGGGGTCTCAATGGCAACTCCACACCTCCCACAGAGCCCTTGGCTGGCAGAGACATAACCAGCGGTGTACAATCGATCCTCAGGCCAAGATCCCGCGACGATGACATTTCGCAGGATTCCAGCTGACTCGCGCTCGCCGTCGCGCGCGAGCTTGGAAAGAAACCTACGCACGGGGGTCGAATCCACTCTTCTCTCAAGGCCCGCGCCGCAAAAATGCTTCGAGGCCTGGCCCCAGGACAAGGAGGAACAGGTTTTCAACGGAGGGCCCCAAAGCAGAAAAGGAAAATCACCGTCATACAGCATCAAAACAGAATCCCCCGTACGCCAGTACACTGGTGACACAGCCTGCCAGCCTAGATCGCGGAGCGCTGCAATGGTAGCCGCCATCGGCCCTTTAACGATCTGCCAGCGGTGCTCGGTCTGACACATCTTGGCAGAAACCTTAGTCCTAACATCAGCACACAACCTGCGGGATTCATGATCAAGGTCAGCCCAGGCCATGGCCCATCAGTCATCCTTCGCAGACCCCAACAAGCCAAGAAGGGTAGTGGTGCACGATCCATGGACTTGACCTGCCCTGGGGACAGCCCTAAGCTTTCGTGGCCCCACGACCCCGAGGCAAGGGCCCCCAGCTTGTGCAACTTGCTCGCTCGGCCGACGCGCCGAGCAAGAATTTGCACCTCCTTACTCTTGCGGCAGGCGAGAGCACGCCTCTGGCGCAGCTTGCTCACCTTGCGACGGACGCCTGCAGAAGACAGGACCCCCAGATCTCGGACCGCAGCTCGCAATTTGATGGGGAGGTTGACCGACGGGAACCTCTGCGTTACCTCGGCTCCGAGATCCCTGCGGGCGCAGACAAGCGCACTCTTGTCGGCGATGGCTGCGCCGGCGGACTCCAGCTTGTGGCGCAAGTGCACTGCGGCAGGCACGAACGAAGCGACGATCTCCTCGCACGTACCCTGCTGCGTCTGAGTGGTGTCATCGACGTAGCCATTGATGCGGACAGGCAAGAAGGACGCATGGGCTTGGTTCAGAACGTCATGCAAATATATCTCAACCCACCGCATGGATTGGCCACAATCAGGCAAGATGCCCATCCCAGCGGGAATGAGGTCAGAACAAAACCCCTGGACATCAAGGATACGAAGAGCCCCATGCAGCACGATCCCCACGTACAAGAGGAACAGGGGGTACCTCACTTTCGCAGCGAGTCCAGCCAGGCGACAGGGATCGACAGTGTCGAAGAACTTCTTGAGATCCCAGTAGGCCCCAATCGAACACAACCCAAGGTACCTGGCCATCTCGTGGCTGAGCTCTCGGTGAAGCGCAGCTTGCAGAGCGGGGGAACCCCGAATGGCCGCGCCCCAACGGTTGACCTGAGCGAACGGCCAATCCTCAATATAACTCCCACGAGCCTTACAATGCACACGGAACAAAGGTGGGGCACTTGCAGACAGGGCGCTCGCTCTCAGCGGATTCAGGCAACAAAACAATGATGCCCAACATGACCTGGGTCGGCCACATCGGCCGGCGCTCGCGCTCATTGAGGAGGTGGGCGAAGCCCTGCACGGCATCGGGCGGCAGGGAGACAAGCAAGCGAGGAGGCCACTGGTCCACGCCAACAGCCGCATCCTCACGGAAAAGGCGAGCAGCTCCCTGAATACCCCCAGGACCCGAAAAGCTGCTCCTGCTGACCCCCTTTGGCCCTCCAAAAGTAACCCCGGAAGACCTCTCGGTATTTCATCATCTCTTCCGGGAGCTGATGCGCCTCAGCTGGTGCAGCCAAGACCTCGAGAACAGCGCCTCGTTCGTACTTAAGCCAAGAATGCGCGCTTGGCGCCTCGAGGCAGCGCCTCGAGGAGCAGCTACTTCATGCCGGCCTTAGTCTCCGCTCGCGCGGCGATTCGCGCCTAAGGGAGGGCAGCGCCGATCGCATCGGAGGCTGCATTGAGATCATCCAAATCCTGGGGCAAGCTAGTCAGGTGAGCCCGCCACCAACCAGGGGTTCGGACATCACCAACCAGGTGATACTCACCGACGCGAGGCGCAATGCCAGCTAAGATACCCTTCAATGTGTAATGCGAAGTCCACGAGCGTTTCGCGATCGACAATCGATGCGCCCCAAGCTTCTGCGAATCATGGGCCCAGAAGCAGAGCGAAGGTCGACGGATGCACTCTCCACGCGCCCCTCGTCGTCCAACTGCCCCGATTTTGAAACTAGGATAAACCCCTCTGGAACCTTCAGGAGGGGCGAAATCCAACGCACAGGCCTTCGCGAGGTACATATTCTCTGTGGCCTTGCTAAATCGAGTGCTGCATCGAGATGTCAGACGACAAGTTGCCAAGCACATGCGTCAGCAACTCGTCGCTCAAATAGCTGGGTGGGGCGAAGTCGCGATCAGCAACCTGCTCCAAAGAATGGGCCCAAGGCAGATCGGGCCCCATGCAGGGTGGAAAGGGAGAAGCACGCTGACGGCGCCACAGCTCCTGCTCGACCACTGTGCAAGTCAAAGACACAGCAAGGCACGCACGAGTCTTGAACGGGGGGGGGGGGGGTCACGTTTGGCAACGCGTAGGTAGCCAGCAATGTCATATGGTGCTACCACATAGTCTATCAAGGACCCCCTCCCGTGACTGCAAGTAAACTCAGTTCCTCCAAGGGGGATGGCACGTGCATCAGAGAGCTTTGGGGAAGCCGCTCAAGTCAAGATCAGTGATCGGAAGGTTGAAGCCACCCATCAGAATCCAGGGGGCAGTCGGAGCACCCGCGAACTCAGAGGTTTCACGCAACCGATCTATATTCACCCCGCTTGCACCCAGGCCGTCATCTAAATAGCACACCCCTGCAGCAATAACAGCTTGCTTGGTTTTAAGCAGCAAAAACAACCAGTGGCTTCCAGAGCCAGGGTCCAGGAGGGACGAATCCGAAGACAGAAAACGCCGAACAGACAGGCCTCCACTCACTACGGCCCCGACCCCCCCGTGATGCAGGCCCCCTCCAGGGGATGGGGTGGCGGGGGTGCAGTGGGGGCGCCACTTCATCTGATTGCACTCACGCTTCGCAAGCCTACAGGAATCACTCAACATTCGATGTTCACAAAAGAAGAACCCATCACACATCGGTTTCACCTCCTGGGCGAAAGAGAAAGAAACCGCATTCCAACTAATGATATTGCAGAACGGAAACTCGACTGTGTGAGGCGCTGGCTGAAAACGGTGGCGACTCAGGGTCCTGCCGGGCGTCGCGCCGCTGTCAGCATCGCGACCTTCGGGGCGATCGGGTGGGCTGAGAAGACCGCGCGCCTCCGCCTGCAACGCCATCACCTGCACCAGCAGCACCTTCACCTGGTACGGGTTCTCCAGCCGCAGGCCCAGGGGCTCCACCTGGTACGTGAAATGCTGCAGCTCCTTGCGGTTGGAACTGCTGTAGAATTCGGTTGAAGGATGCCGCCGCGTCAGACCGCGCGACCCGAACACGCTTGGCAGCCTTCTGTTTGGCCTGCTTGCATAGCAGCTCCTCCAATCGATCGCGCTCTGACTCCTGCAAGGGCTTCTCGATGGCGCGCTTCTTGAGCTCGCGCAGCTCGTCGAGGCGCTCGGTGCCCAAGTCAGAAGCAACATCATATATGTCATCAGCATCGCGATCGAGCGCAGCAAGCAACTGCTGCGCCGCGTGCCAGAACTCGTACTGCTGGTCGTGCAACTGGCACCACGCACGAAGCTCGGGCTCGCCCATGGTGGCCAGGTTGGGCGGGGGCTGCGGCATGGCGCCAGCGGCGGCACCGCGACCATCGCCACCAGCAGCACGAACAGGTACTCGAGCAGGAGCTGCCTGAGGGACGCCTCCTCCACCACCAGCAGGCACGGCACCTGGCGTGGCAGCAGCTGGAGCACGACGCCGGGCAGCAGCAGCCTCCTCTGCCATTCGGCGCTCCTCACGCCTACACTCCTCACGGTAGGCATCAGGGGAGAAGAGCTGCTTGGCCTCCTGCGCAGCCCGCGTCTCCTGCTGGCACTCGGCAAGGCCAGCCACGGCAGCAGCATGGGCGGCCTCCGCCTGGTGCAGAGCTTCACGATGCTTGACGACGGCCGCCAGGCGGGCCTCCACCTCGGTCTGGGCAATGCGCTCTGCCCGCGCCGCCCTTTCGACATCCAGGGGCAGCTCCGTCTGGCGCGCCGCCACCCTCTTGTCCAACTGATTGGCGCTGGCAGGCTCGGGCGGCGGCGCCACCCGTGCCCCAGCTGCGGCAGCCTCGGCACTGGCAGCCTGGAGGGTAGCAGCCATCGCAGGGTGCTGGGCGGCAAGGGCGCTGAGAAGCTGCGCGAGGTCCGCAGCCTGCCCAGCTTGCGCACTGCCGCCTGCCACAGCGGAAGGGCCATTTTCCTTACGGTAGCTGCCTCCACACTTCGAGCAGCACCAGTGGCCGCAGGAAGCGCACACAGAGTAGGCACCTCCTCCGCGACGTGGGCGGCCTCCACCGCGATCGCCACGATCACCGCCACCACGCTGGCCACGACCAGCTGTAGCACGCCATGGGGTACGATACCGCCAAGCCATCGCTCACGATGCCTGGCAGAACGGAGAATGTTGCTCCTGCAGGACCTCACAAAGGAAGACTGCAGGCACCGACCAGGGCAGACTGATCGGGCCAGAAAACAATTGACTGCAAGCCGCGGACTAGCGGTATCCACATGTTCCCCTGTGGAACAAGGCATCTTGAGCCAACATGGCTACGGGGGGGTGGTAGGAGGAGGAGGATGAGGAGGAGGAGGAGCAGCAGGAGGAGGCGGAGGAGGAGGAGGAGGAGGAGGAGGAAGAAGAAGAAGAATAAGAAGAAGAAGAAGAATAATAATAATAAGAAGAAGAAGACGAATAATAATAATAATAAGAAGAAGAAGAATAATAAGAATAATACTAATACTACTAATAAGAATAACGATAATAATAATAATAAGAATAATACTAATAATACTAATAATAATAATGATAATAATACTAATAATAATAGCAATAAGAATAATACTAATAATAATATTGATAATAATAAGAAGAAGAAACATAATAATAATAAGAATAATCAGACTAATAAGAAGAATAAGAAGAACAATACTAATAAGAGGAGGAGGCGGAGGAGGAAGAGGAGGAGGAGGAGGAGGAGGAGGAAGAGAGGAGGAGGAGGAGGCGGAGGAGGAGGGGAGGAGGAGGAGGAGGAGGAAGAGAGGAGGAGGAGGAGGAGGAGGAGGAGGAGGAGGAGGAGGAGGAGGAGGAGGAGGAGGAGAGGAGGAAGGAGGAGGAGGAGGAGGAGGAGGAGGAGGAGGAGGAGGAGAAGAGGGGGAAGAGGGGGGGAGGAGAAGCTGAGTGGCAAGGACCTTGCCAGTGAGCCTGCCGGGGTCCGAAGTGCAGGGCCGCCAGCTCCGTGCCGTTTACCCTGGCCTTCTGGGCGCGGCGGCGCCCCCCCCCCGTGGCCCGCCGCGTGTGGCCGCGCCGCCGCCGCCGCCAGCGCGGCCACGGCGGCCGCTCGCCAGGGCCGGGCCTGCGCGCGCGCGGGCACCGCGTCCGCGGCGCGCGACGCTGCAGCGCGCAACCCCTGGGCTGCCTCTGGTCCCTCTCTCGACGAACGCTCAACGGGTGGCAACTCTCGCGAGGAACGGACTCTCGCGGCGGCCTGCTAGCACTGGGTCGCGCGGCCTGCGCTGGGTTCGCTGCCCGAGTGCGGCCCAAGGTCGCCGCGGGGCACGCGGCGTGCTCCCCTGGGGCGCCCGCTGCCGCGCGAGGGCGGGCGCGTCGCCGACACCGCCCGCGGCCCTCCACCGCGGCAGGGGCCCACCCGCACGCCCAGGGCAGCGAGGCGCTCCGCGGCGGCAGCAGCCCCCCCCGCCCCGCCTCGCGGCCCCGGGCGCAGCGGAGCCCTGCGAGAGCGCGCTGGCCGCCGTGAGGTCGATCAAGCCGGGGCTCTGCCGCCCTGGGGCAGCGCAGACCCGGGCCGGTTGGGCCCTGCAGGATCCGGCACTCGAGCCCGGGTCGGCGCGCAGGAGCCTGCGAGATCCTGCAGGATCCTGCGCCCAGGCCCGGGCCAGGGCGACCGCACAGGATCCCGCAGGCTGCGGCGCTCTGGCTGACCCCCGTTTGCAAGGACCCCCGTCCCCAGACCTTCTCGAGTAATGAAAAAATCATGACGGGATGTTTTTCCCAATTTTCGGCCTCCGGGGGCCCTCACCGGGCCTCGGGAGCGTCAAAAAACGACTCAGGATGCAAAGCCGGTCATGGGGAAAGGGTCCAGACCTCTGGGGTCGACGTAATGAAAAAATCATTACGTCGGGGGTCTGGGTCTCTCGAGCCCCGGTCGAGCTCGGCGCCGCGATGCCCGGCGCGTGGGCCACAGAGTCCGCGCGGGCTGCGGGGGCCGTGCGGCGGCCCGCGGCAGCAGGACCGCTTCCGTGCGCCGCGCCGCCCTGCTCCTCGCACCAGGCCGGCGGAGCCCGCAGCTCCTCCTCTCCCCCCTCCTCATCGCCTTCCTCCTCCTGCATTGGGGTCGCGTCCTCCTCCTCCTCCTCCTCCTCCTCCTCCTCCTCTCTCCCTCCTCCTCCTCCTCCTCCTCCTCCTGCCTCCTCCTCCCTCTCCTCCTCCTCCCTCCCTCCTCTCCTCCTCCTCCTCTTGCCTCTCCTCCTCCTCCTCCTCCTCCTCCTCCTCCTCCTCCTCCTCCTCTTCTTGCCTTCTCTTGCCTCCTCCTTCCTCCTCGAAGTTCGAAGCTGCAGACCTGTGGTTCCCTCCAGCCCTCCTCAGTCCTACAGTCCTCCTCCAATCCTCCAGTCCTCCAGTCCTCCAGTCCTCCAGTCCTCCAGTCCTCCAGTCCTCCTCCTCCTCCTCCTCCTCCTCCTCCTCCTGGCCATCATCGTCATACTCCCCTTCACCACTGCTTCCCCCATCCCCCATCGTCTCCTCATCCCTGCTACCCTCCTCGCTCCTTTCCTTCGCTCTCCGCGCCTGGTGCACGGCCGGCACGTAGGACGCACTCGCCTCGGGCACAAGCGCCAAGCGCAGGGAAGCGTCGCCGTCGCGGGAACAAGAGGAATAATATCTGTAAGAAGTGAAAGAAAGAAGGGGGAGGAAGGAAAAGAGGAGGAATGCGGAGGAGAAGGAAGGAGGATGAGGATGGCGAGGGGGAGGGCGGCGCTGAGGTCTGCAGGCCCCCTTTGGGGCCACCAGGCTGCGTGGACGAAGTTTCTGCCCCCTGGAACCCGTCCTCAATTCCCCGGTTCCAGTGCGAGTTCCACGGCAGTTCCTGTATTCCAAAGTGCCAGATGTGATAGGTCAGTGTACCCCGCGCCAAACTGGAAGGTCGCATGATGCGTGGCCTCCCAAGCCGAAAAACAACCCGTTCTCGTACACAAGAGGCGGTTCTCAGAATCCCGTGGGCCCCTGGGACACTGACTTCTCCCTGGGCCACAACCCCTTGTACATTGCAACCCACGCGCGTTCCTCAGACAACACCCCCACGTAAGTTACAACCCGTGCGCGCTCCCAGGGCGACAGACCATTGCAAAATGTGGGTTCCCGGGGCCACAACCCGTAGTAATTTACAACGCGCGCGCTCCCGAGGAATGTGCGGGTAGTCGATCTGGCTGGCCCTGCTCGAACCCTCGAATATGCTGCCGCAGGGGTAAAAATGATGATCGCCACCAGCCCGACGGAGCCGAACCACTCGTGGACGGCCGCCCCGCACGCGTTCTCCTCCTCCACCCCGTAGTGTCCCACCGCCTCTGCATCCACCTTGGCACATAGCCCCAGTTGAGGTCCATGCGGACCACGTGCGTGTAGCGCTGCGGAATCTTGAGGTACTCCCTCCAGCTTAGCCCACTTCAGCAGCTGCTTGCACGCGCCGCTGTAGGCACGAGGGTTGCCTTCTCCGCTCGGCCTCGGCGGGAAATATACCCCCATCATGTCAACCATCACGGGGCCCGAGCTAAAAATACATCAGGCCTCTTCGCCCATAGAGCCCAGCCAGAGGGGCAATTGCTATTCGAACATCCTTACTCTCGAACCAACTCTTGTTGATCATCTTTTTCTTTCTCGGCAAACAATGTTTGGTGCACCCTTTTATAATCGAAGTCTCCGCCACCCCGCGCAGGGCCATGAGTGGTAGCGACAGCACCATAGATAGAGTCAGCGATCGTCATACAGAAGCCGTCTGGCCCGCGACTTCTCCGCGCCCCTCTTGACCCCAACTCTTGTGGATCATCACTGCGCAGCCGCAAGCCTTCGTGACAAGGCGGCCGAGCTCCCGCCCGAAGTGGGTCACGTGGTGGGAGGTGGCGCTCCCTTGCCTTGCCTGCGCCCCTCCGCGGCCGCCCTCATCTGCGAGGAGGAGGAGGCAAGAGGAGGAGGAGGAGGAGGAGGACGAGGAGGAAGAGGAGGAGGAGGAGGAGGAGGGAGGGAGGAGGGAGGGAGGAGGAGGAGGAGGAGGAGGTGGCGCTGGCGGCGTGGTGGAGCTCGCCTGGCCACGCTCGGACTCCTGTGGCCGGCAGGCCCCATCACCGCCCCTGGAGAAGGGTGGGCGGCCTGGGCCGCCGTCGGCGGCCTGGTGACGCCGAGGGGGAAGGGGGAGGAGGAGGGGGGAACGAGGATGGAGTGGAGCCGCAGGGGGAGAACTAGCAGAAGAAGGGTGACGAGGAGGAGGAGGAGGAATAATAATAAGAAGAAGAATAATGATAATAATAATAATGCTAACAATATTAATAATGATAATAATAATAAGATTAATAATAATAATACTAATAATAATACAACTAATAATAATATTAATAATAATACTAATAGTACTAATAATAAAAACAATAATGATAATAATAATAATAATAATAGGAATAATAATAATAATAGTAATAATACTAGTAATAATAATGCTATTAGTAATACTAATAGTTATTGTTATAAAGAAACATGAGAGGAATAATAATAATAATAAGAAGAAGAGCACAGGGAAGAACGGAAAAGAAGGAGGAGGAGAAGGACGAGGAACAACCAAAAAGAGAGAAACGGGAAGCGACGGGGAGCGCCCAGCCCAGACCTTCGACGCCGTGATTGTGTCGCGACCTGGGCCTCAGAAGCTTGGACCCCGCCTCCGGACCGGCTTCTCATCCCCGGTCGTCTTTTGTCGGGCGCTGGCAGAGCTGGGTGTAGTTACGGCAGGTTCGCGTCGTGTCGACTTCGGCGTTGGTTTCTGACCGCGGGGATCATTCAACCTTGAACGATCCGCCGTTTCCGAAACGTCCAAATCGTTCCACATCGACCGATTCTGGGTCGCCCGCGGAATTCAACGTTGAACGCCGCTGGCGGGGTTGCCGCTGGTCGACACGACGCGAACCTACCGTAGGGGAAAAAAGGTGACATAAACATAAAACCTCGGAGGTCCGCGCGGATTTCCCGGATCGGCGCTGGACCCCCTCCCTGGCGCGCTCCGCGCGCCAGGGGCGGCGCCGGAGGCGCCGCCGGGGCGCCCCATCGTCGATCCGAGAAGTCCGCGCGGACCTCCGAGTTTTTATGTTTACGTCACTTTTCGTTCTCCTAGTAGTGGGACCCGGTTCTCAGACCCCCGACGCCATGACTTTGTCATGACGTCGACCCCTATAGAGGTCTCGACCCCCCCCTGGGGCCGCTTCTTCATCCACAGTCGTTTTTGGACAGCCCCGAGGCCCGGTGATCCGGTGAGGGCCCCTTGGAGCCGACAATACCGAAAAACCTCCCGTCGTGATTTTTCACAACGCGAGGACTGGCCATCGCTCGGACGTCCATTCCCTATGTTTTTTTCGGTTTCGTGCGTGGTTTTTTCGCCACATGATCAAGGATCATCGGATGCTCCTCGATGGTCCTCGCCGAAGGAAAAATGCACACGTCCGAGCGATGCCAAGGGGAAGTCTGGGTTTAGTGATGTGGACTGGGGGACGCCCCCCCGGCCCCATTGCACGAACTGGAGCTGCCGCCACCCGAAAAAACGCCAGCTATACGGCAGCCCTGGTTCAGTGGTGATGGCCAATTCCCAGACCCCCGACGTCATGATTTTTTCATGACGCGACCCCCAGAGGTCCAGACCCATTCCCCGGGACCGGTTTTTCATCCCGAGTCGTTTTTTGACGGTCCCGAGGCCCGGTAAGGGCCCTCAGAGGCCGAAAACAGCGAAAAACCTCCCGTCGTGATTTTTTCATGACTCGAGGAGGTCTGGGTTTAGGGGCCCTGGGGCCCTGCCACTAGCCGGGTCCCCTTTACCTGGGGTCCTGGCCATACCCGATCCTGACGGTCCCAAGGCTCGGCGAGGGCCCTCGGGTGCCGCACGCTCCCGAAAAAACAGCTCGCCATGCTCTGCTGAGAGAGAGAGGCCCCTCGGCGTCGCCTGTGGGGACGAGGTCGTGCTGGTCGTGCTGGGCGTGCTGCTCGCCGAGGCCGTCCTGGTGCTCGTGCTGGTCGAGGCGCTGGCGGAGCTGCCGTTGGCGGCGCTCATGGTGCTGCTGGTGGCGCTGCCGGTGGTGGTGCCGTTGGAGGCGCCGGTGCTGCCCACGGTCGTGACCTGAGGGGCAGCGTCTGCGGGCGTTTTCGTCGGGCGCCTTTCGTCGGTCGTCGGCGGCGTTTCAGCCTCGGGGTGCTCTCCAGCAGCTGCGCCTCGCCGAGAGCGTTCCGGGGGGGCCTGGATCGTCCGGGACGGCCGCCGAATGCCCAAGCTACAGCCCGAAAACCAGGGGAGGAGGAGCAGGACGGAGGAGGGGGGGGAGGAGCAGGAGGAGGAGGAGGAGGAGGAGGAGGAGGACGAAAGCCATGGGAGAGAGGGGAGCCATCGAGCTGGAAGCGGCGAGGCATCGCCGAGAGGTTGGCGCGGCAGGCCCCTGCATGGCAACGCTGCGCGGTCCTTGGCGGGGTGGGCTGCAGTCGGGCACCAGCCAGAAGAGCACCCTGCAAGAGCATGAGATTCGTCGACGGCCCAAACTGAAGAACACTCGAGGGTGTCCTCCCCCAGGACAGGGCTGGACCTGGACCGTGTTCGTCGTTTTCGCTCTGTCTTCGCTTTCCCTCGCTCCGTCTTGAATTCGCCTTCGCTGCGAAACGACATCGAAACGAAAACGGCCTACGAAATCTCCCAAACACCGTTCAGGTTCACCCCTGCCCCAGGATGCACAAGAACATCCAACACGCACGAAGAACACAAAAGTACCCTCTCCGATGTGCCTCGGTCCGACTGCATCGGGCCCCTGTCCGCCATGCCCGTTTGGGGCGATCCGAGCATCTCCGGAACGCCCTCGGCGAAGCGCAGCTGCCAGAGGACATGCCGAGGCTGGAAAATCCACCGAGAACCGCCGACGAAGATGCCCGACAACCTCGAACTTCGAACCTGTCCTCCCCCTTGAGCACGTCCCCCTGCGGCTGCTTCCCCCCGAACGTTTCCCCTGGTGGCCGTGGTGGTGCTGGTGCTCGTGGTGTTGTTGTCGGCGGCGCTGACGGTGAGGTTGGGCGTTACCGCCGCGCGCTGCCAGGCGGCGCTGCGGTGCTGCCAGGCTCCCTGTCCTCGCGGGAAGATGGGGGTGGTGCCCTCGATCCTCATTCCTCCTCCTCCTCCTCCTCCTCCTCCTCCGCCTCCTCCTCCACCTCCTCCCTTCTCTTCCTCCTCCTCCTCCTCCTGCTCCTCCCTCCTCCTCCCCTCCTCCTCCTCCTCCTCCTCCTCCTCCTCCTCCTCTTCCTCCTCCTCCTCCTCCTCCTCCTCCTCCTCCTCCTCCTCCTCCTCCTCCTCCTCCTCCCCCACAACCTCCACTACCACCTCCTCCCTCCCCCTCCCCTCCACCTCTCCTCCTCCTCCTCCTCCTCCTCCTCCTCCTCCTCCTCCTCCTCTCCTCCTCCTCCCTTCCTCCTCCTCTCCTCCTCCTCCTCCTCCTCCTCTCCTCCTCCTCCTCCTCCCTCCTGCCTCCTCCTCCTCCTCCTCCTCCTCCTCCTCCTCCTCCTCCTCCTCCTCCTCTCCTCCTCCTCCTCCTCCCCCCTCCTCCTCCTCCTCCTCCCCTTCCTCCTCCTCCCCAACTCCTCCTCCTCAATCCTCCTCCTCCTCCTCCTCCTCCTCCTCCTCCTCCTCCTCCTCCTCCTCCTCCTCCTCCTTCTATTGCCTCCTTCCTCCTCCTCCTCCTCCTCCTCCTCCTTAGCAAACGGCATGCGGACCCTGCCACTGGAGCCTTCGGCGGAGCTCCCTATGGGGCCACGATCCTCGTGAGGGGTCTGCCGAACTGCCCCGAATCCGCCATGCGGACCCTGCCACTGGAGCCTTAGGTGGAGCTCCCGATGGGGCCACGATCCTCGTGAGGGGTCTGCCGAACTGCCCCGAATCCGCCATGCGGACCCTGCCGCTGGGGCCTTCGGCGGAGCTCCCTGTGGCCCTGTGGGGCCAGGAAGTGCGTGAGGGGTGCGCCAAGATGGTGGAGATGCGGAGAGCAGAAGCAGGGACGGGAAGAGGGACGAGGGGGGCAGCGGGAGAAGAGTGACGCGGGGCGCTGTCAGTTCAAAACGAAAGCCCAACACCACAGGAGGAGAAGGAGGATGAGGATGAGGATGAGGAGGAGGAGAAGGAGGAGGAGGAGGAGGAGGACAACAAACTACGAGGAGGGGAGACAGAGGGGAGACAGGGGGGGAGGCGGAGAGCGCAGGCCGCCCGTGGAACTCGACGCTGGGCCCTCTCATCCTCCGCCTCCTCCTCCTCCTCCTCCTCCTCCTCCTCCTTGCTTGGATGGAGATGATCCTCCTCCTCCTCCTCCTCCTCCTCCTCCTCCTCCTCCTTGCTTAGATGGAGATGATCCTCCTCCTCCTCCTCCTCCTCCTCCTCCTCCTCCTCCTCCTTGCTTAGATGGAGATGATCCTCCTCCTCCTCTCCTCCTCCTCCTCCTTGCTTAGTGGAGATGTGGACGCAGTGCCGTTCACAGTGCCGCGCCGTGGCGCCCTCCCATCACTCTCCACCCTTTGCCATACAATCAAACATAGGATCAAGACAATGATCAACTAAGAAAGCCGGGCCAGCGGAAACGCTGGGCCAGCTCTTGTCGGGAGCGGCCAAGAGGGGGGTGTCCAAGAGGGGGGGTGCAAATCATGACCGGCGGCATGTGCGCGGCCCGGGCGGGGGCCAGGGACGTAATGAAATCAGGAGGGGCGCCATGAAATCTGGGGAAATATCATGGCCCACGCCATGAAATCCCCCCCCCCCTAATAGTCATCACCCCCCTCTTTTCCGCCCCCGATCTTGGAGCCAGGAGCGTACACTTGGAGCCGCACCCGCGCACGAGCCGGAAGCGGAGGCTGCCGATCCCCTCAGGAAACGGAGCCAGCTCTCCGGCAAGCTGGCTCAGAAACGTCGGGCCAGCTGCTCGCGGGGAGGCCTCTTGACCATAAGCGGGACCGTAATCATGCATAGGTATGCTCAGACGGAGATGTCGGCGCAGTGCCGTTCGCGGTGTCGAGCCCCAGCGCCCTCCCAGCACCCTCCACCCTCTGCAGCAGTGCTCCCAGCCGAGGGGCTGCGCTATGGATCCACGTGCGCTGCCCGAGCCAACTGGCAGGAGTAAGGGACCGAATGCCCGCCCCTCATTCTTCCTGCTTCGGGGCCGGACTCGGCCACAGCCTGAACCCAGCCAGTTCTGCTCCCCGAACAACACACGTCAGTAAGTTGACCGTACACTTCTGGTTCCCGCCCAAGGCAGTTGAAAAAAAGACGAGATATGATGACCAACTTCATGCCGCCGGCGTCGGTGCAGCTGGCGACGGCGTCGGAGTCGGTGCCTGCGTCCATGCTGCTGGCGTTAGTGCGGGAGTCGGCGCCGGTGCCACTGCAGCTGGCGCTGATGCCGGCGGCCACGTTGAGCATGACGGTCTTCCCCAGGAGCGTCTTCGAAACTCCGCACTCCCCCTTGATGGCCGCTGAAAGAGATCGCGCTGTCGCGGTTGTCGTGGTCAACGTTGCCGTGGGCGCCGCGGTCGCCCATAGAAGAAGAACAAAACCATATAAACACAAACTTTTGGCGCTCCGTGCGGATTTCTTGGGTTCGCGCTGGACCCCCCTCCCTGGCGCGCGGAGCGCGCCAGGGGCGGCGCTGGAGGCGCCGCCAGGGGGGCCCAGACGCGGATCCACGAAATCTGCGCGGAGCGCCGAAAGTTTACGTTTGCGTGTGTGTGTGTGTGTGTGTGTGTGTGTGTGTGTTTGTTCTTCTTTGGGCCTCGCTGGTTGTGCACGTGGTGGGCGGGCTCGCCGCGACCGAAGCCGAGGCCAGAACGGGCCGTGAGCTTGACCTGGTCGGCCGCCCCGTCGTCGAGGCGCTTCGCCGTGGCCCTCGCGTCGGGTCCCAAGTCCAGGGCGTGCAACAGGTGGTTAGGAATAGAGCGCACAAAGACATACTAGCACTACGTGTCCTCCTTGGCGGCGCGCGTTCTGGACTGGACACATAGCACACCCGTCTTGTAATATATCGTTTCCCGAGCGGTGTGGCCAGAAAGCGCCCGCCACGACGCGTATGCCATAAGATTTCTCGGTGCGCGCGTGGCCCCTGGGGGGGCGACGCACACATAGTAGAAATAGGTCGGGGTGACGCCGAAGGAATTCCAGTGGTCCGCGTCGCAGTCGCGCCTGCATCGCCACTCTGTGCGGGCACGGCGGCGCACACCAAAGGATTTACTAACCCTGTGTGGCGGCATCAGGGTTTTGTGAGTGCGTGCCGGCGGGCTTCGTCGCAGATGTAAGGAACGCGTCTGGCAGTGGTGAACCTCACGCGAGACACGCTCCACCAAAGTGTGGCTACTTTTCCCCTCCTGCCGGCCCGGTCGCAGGCGGGGAAGTACCGCACCAATGCAAGGCCGTGCTCGATCCCGGAGGGGTCGCAGTCGAAGTCGATGGCGCCCTGGAGGGTGGTCGGCGTCGAGGTAGCGCTCGAGCTGGTTGTGCACCTGGTGGTCGGACTAGCCGTGGTCGAAGCCAAGGTCTGTGCCGAACTTGGGTTTGCAAATGTAACCAACATCCGGACTCAAGGCTCAAGCTCAAGCGCTAAGCCCGTGTGAATATAAGCCCCGCTTCGTCGTCCTGAAAAGGTCCCGCCCGATAACTTCTTCAGGCGATGGCGACAAACGACAGCCAGGTAAACCGGCCTGGCAGTTGTGCAACCAGCGTCGGATCCACAGCCCGCTTCATTCAATGGATTGGCTTGATCGTGGTTGTTTCTGGTCGTGGTGGCTGTTCTTTGTTATGGTTACTGTTTCTCGTCGTGGTGGCTGGTCGTGGTCGTGGTGGCTGTTTCTGGTCGCGGTGAGTGTCCGTCGTAGTGGTGGCTACTTCTGGTCGTGGTCGCGGTGGTCGCTTCTGGTCGTGTTGCTCTGGCGGGTGGTGCATACAGTCAAAACGTGTATTAAGGACGGCGCGCGTCCTTACTAGGCGCGTTGACTGTGTGGGCAAACTTGGGCCCCATGGGATCCGAAGCTCTCCACGTTCACCGCCTGCCGAAGTCCCCGAAGATCGATGCCCCGGGCGATGGTCGCGGATAGGTCCCCGCCTCGGAAGTCTGCACCAGATCGGGGGATCGGCTCCCAGACATGCGACGTCCTGATTTTTTCTGGACTGCGTCCCTGGAAGTCCCGACCCTTTCCCCGGGACCGGTTTTTCGTTCCGGGTCGTTTTCTGGCGGTCCCGAGGCCCGGCGAGGGCCCCCCGGGGCAGAAACTAGCCCCAAACCTCCCGTCTTGTTTTTTTTACGACGCGATCATGTCTGGGCTCGCCTCGGCTCGGATCCTGTGCCGGGTCGAGATCGCAGCGGTGCGGAGCCGAGGTCGGATCGGCGGCTGGGATCGGGCGCGCCAGGGCGCACGGCTGCGCCACGCGAGCACATGGCCGCACGGGACCGCCCGAGCAGCGGCATCGAATCGGATCGGGAGGGCCCAAACCGAGCTCGGATCGGATCGGTCAGGGCGAGATTGGCCCTGGCAGTAAGTCGGGCCTGTCCATGTACAGGGGGAACATTCAAGAATGGAAAAAAATAGTCTGGGGACTATCTTTTGATGATTTTTATTGAATGTTTTTTACTATTTTTATTTTTCGCTCAAAATCCCCCTGTAGGGGGACACGCCCGACCCAACCCTGGCAGGGAGGTAATCGAGGGGGCCAGGCTTCGCGCAGCCCCTGGGGGCGAGTTTCGCGCCACTGGCGGTGATCCTGGGGAGGGTATCCGGCCTCCTGGCGGCAGCGTTTCGGCCCAGGGCGGGACTGGCTGCTCATCCCAAGCCATTGATGGGCGTGTTTTCCACCACCACCACCACCAGAAGTTATAGGGGGAGGGGGTCCTCCTCCTCCTCCTCCTCCTCTTCGTCCTCCTCCTCCTCCTCCTCCTCCTCCTCCCCTCCTCCTCCTCCTCCTCCTCCTCTTCTTCCTCCTCCTCCTCCTCCTCCTCTTCGTCCTCCTCCTCCTCCTCGTCCTCCACCTCTCCTCCTGCTCCTCCCTCCTCCTCCTCCTCCTCCTGGTCCTCCTCCTCCTCCTCCTCCTCTTCGTCGTCCTCCTCCTCCTCCTCCTCCTCGTCCTCCTCCTCCTCCTCCTCTTCGTCCTCCACCTCCTTCCCCCCTCCAACTTACGGTGGTGGTGGTGGTGGAGCACATGCCCATCAAAGCAATCCTTTGGCGGGCCTGGCCGCCTGGCCGGCCCGAGGAGGCCAGGAGCGGTCACGACAACAAGAGGCCCGGCTTTCGGGACAACGCCCCTGGCCTCCGACGGACGAGCAGGCCCAGGCATGATCGCGTCGTGAAAAAATCAGGACGGGAGGTTTTTGGCTATTTTCGGCCCCGGGGGGGCCCTCGCGGGGCCTCGAGGCCGTCAAACAACGACTCAGGACGAACAGCTGGTCCCGGGGAGAGGGTCGGGACTTCCAGGGACGCCGTCTTGAAAAAATCAGGACGTCGCGTGTCTGGGGGGTCTCCTGACGCCTCTCGGCGAGGCGCGGCTGGTGGAAAGAATCCTGGGGCCGGGGAACCTCCCGAAACGTGCCCAAACCGCCGAAAGCCGCCAATCCTCGATCTTTGCTCCTCGAGAGCCCTTCAAAAAACACACACCCTGGCAGCCGAAACCAGCCAATCCTCGATCCGCGTGCCTCCCTCTCCCTCCTCCTGCCCATCTCGTCCCTCGAACCTCCTCACCTCCTCCGGTCGGCACGGCTGGGGGGAAGAGGATGAGGAGACGGAGGAGGGCGGAGGAAGGCTGAGGAGGGGGACGATGGGGAAGGAGGGCGGAGGAGGAGGAATGCGACGGCAGGCGGAGGAGGAGGAAGAGGAGGAGGAGAACGAGGAGGAGGAGGAGGACGAGGAGGAGGAGGACGAGGAGAACCACGGGGAGGATCAGGAGGTGGAGGAGGTGGAGGAGGAGGAGGAGGAGAAGGAAGGCGGAGGAGAACGAGGAGGGCGGAGTAAAAGGAGGAGACGGAGGAGGACGGCGGAGGAGGAGGAGGAGGAGGAGGACGAGGACGGAGAAGGCGGAGGAGGACGACCGAGAAGAACGGAGATCGGAGGACGAGGAGTATGACGGAGGAGGAGGCGGAGGAGGAGGACGTGGAGGAGGAGGGCAGAGTAGGAGGGCGGAGGAGGAGGGTGGAGGAGAAGGAGGAGGAGGGAGGAGGAGGAGGAGGAAGGAGGAGGAGGGGGAGGAGGAGGAGTGAGGGCGGGCGTCCAGGCTTCGCGCCGCCCTCGACCAGCACTACGGCGGAGCCCCCCTCCGCCCTCGGCCTCGCGCCCTGCGGGTGCCGCGCGCTCGGCGCGGGGGGTCGGAGGCGGCCGACCTCTCTCGCCTGCCTGCCTGCCTCCAGATCCTCCTTCTGCCTCCTCCTCCTCCTCTCCTCCTCCTCCCCTCCCCCTCCTCCTCCTCCTCCTCCTCCTCCTCCTCCTCCTCCTCCTCCTCCTCCTCCTGTGCTACATTCCTGCTCCTCATGAAACAAAACAACTTCTCCCTGTCGCATCCCGAGGCCAGTTTTAGGGCGGGCTGGGCGTTTCGCCCGAGACTCTCTCACCATTGACGACCCTGGAGCTCAAACATTGGCAACAACGGGTGGTTTTCAAAACGTGGCTCTCGCCTTAGCGCCGCGTGCATTCGTTTTAAACATTTGCCGGATTTTGTTGCGGATTGAGGGCGGCCGGGCTTCAACATGTGGCACTCGCCTTGACGCCGCACACATTCTATGTGACAAATGGCAAGAGCTTCACGGATTGAGGGCGGGTGGTCTTCAACATGTGGCTCTCGCCTTAGCGCTGCGAGCATTCGTTTAAACCATTTGCAAGAATTTTACGGGTAGAGGGCGGGTGGTTTTCAACATGTGGCTCTCGCCTTAGCGCCAGGAACATTCGTTTTTACACATTTGCAAGAGCTTCACGGATTGAGGGCGGTTCATTTTCAAAGTATGGCTCTCGCCTTACCGCCGCGCGCATTCGTTTACACAAATTACAAGAGCTTCATGTATACCCATGACCAACGCACCAGGAGTGATGTTTTGCAAAGATTTAGGGTTGTACGTTATACGGGTGCAACAATTAAGCTGATTCGCGGCGTTGAAGTCCCAGAAATGGCGACCTGCACGATTCAGGCCCGTCAAGACGCAACAGTCAGGTTGATCGGTGGCGTTGGAATTCCGAGAACAATGCTTTGGCATGCTTCAGAATATTCAAACGGTCATTTCCCCATGAGGCCATTCCCTCAGGGAGATGACAACCGCTGTAGGAGCCTATGACGAGGGAGCTTGGAGGGAGGGTTGATTGAGTCATCGTTGATGACTCTTGGGTTTACACTGGACACTCCTCCTCCTCCTCCTTCTTCTTCGTTTTCTGCTTATGTTTCTGCTTACTCATATTGTTCTTGCCATCCTCCTCCTGCTCCTCCTCCTTCTGCCCCACCTCCTACTTATTCCTCTTCTCATTGTCCCTCCTCTCTCTTCTGTTTCTTAGTCTCCTCCTCCTCCTCTTCCTTGTGCTCCAGCTCCTCCTCCTCCTCCTCCTCCTCCTCCTCCTCCTTCTGCTCCAGCTCCAGCTCCAGCTCCAGCTCCAGCTCGAGCTCCTCCTCCTCCTCCTCCTCCCTCCTCCTCCTCCTCCTCCTCCTCCTCCTCCTCCTCCTCCTCCTCCTCCTCCTCCCCGCACCGCATCTTGCCGTGAAATATTGATGCACGACAGGGACTGTTTGTCCGTTTTCGCGCTCCGCGGGCCCTTGGCGTGCTCCAAGGCAATCAAAACACTACTCGGGACGGGCAACTTGTCCCGGGGACGAGGTCCATACCTACGGTGGTCCACGTTGTGAACAACTCACAACGCCGCAAGTATTGGTCCTCCATGTTCGTTCCGTCTCATCCTTCTCCTCGCCCGACGTCCCCTGTGCATCGTCCCTCCTCCGTCCTGCCTCTCCCTCCGCGGACTCTCTGCTACATACTCCTCGTCCGCATCCCTCCTCCTCTTCTTCATACCACCCCCGTCGTTCCTCCTCCCTTTCCTCCTCCCATCTCCCTTCTGCGTATCTCTCCATCCAACCTCATTGAAATGGAATCATCACCGACTCAACGCCTGCGTGGCTTCGGAGCTGCATGTCAACGGCTCGTTCTACACTTCACGAGCCCTTTCTGCACATGTTCCTCTGCACACGTGCTGTGCTTTTGTCGAACCTTCTGCCGACGATCTCAGCCCTGGGACCCTGGACTCGGAGGCACTGGCTTGAGGCCTCGGGAACGGCCTCGAGACATGCTCTGCTCGGTGGCTACCCTCACAGAAGTGGGAAGAGAAGAGTAAGCAGGAACAGGCGCGCAAGTTGCAGAACACATGCCTTGGGAGGGTCACGGGCTGGTGCACTCGTGAGGAGCACCCGCCGTGCCCTCATACCCCCCATGCAGAGCACCACACCCGCTGAGGAAGCGATCGCATTCGCTCATGCATTACACGCAATCGACAAGTTAAACCTCGCCGAGCTATCCGAGTTCGGGGGCGGCGGCTTCCATTTTGCAGGACCCGCTGACCAAGACTTTCCGCATCAGCCTGGGAAGAGAATCCGAACAGGGCAAGCCCGCGGAGGAGGTCGACCCTGGGAAGAGAAGGGGAGCCTGGGGAGAGGGGGAGAACGGCAGCGGCTGGCGCCGAAGCGCGAGCGCCACTCTCGGCTGCACGCAAGAATGGCCCTAGACAAGATTGACACTTGGTGCGCGCCCACGGGGGGCCCTTTGGACACACCACCAGGTGCACAAGGCGCTGCTATCGCATCGCGTTCAGCGATCAGGGGGCCCCATTGGGCCCGCACCAAAGGTCACTCCAACGAAAGGCCACTCTTACGTGTAGCCGGCACTCCTCAGCCCGCAACCCCCGACGTCGTGATTTCTGCACAGCGTCAACCCCCATGCAGAGGTCTGGACCCCTCCCCCGGGACCGGCTTTTCATCCCGAGTCGTTTTCTGACGGCCCCGAGGCCTGGTAAAGGGCCCCCCAGAGGCTGAGAGCTAGCCTAGCGAAGGACCCAACCATATGCAGTTGTGAGTACCGTCTTTGTGAGCAACGCATTCGGTGGAACTCCCTATGGGGCTACGAAGCGTGTGAGAGGTGTGCCGAGAGCAAAGGCAAGGAGGGGGACGAGGGAGGAGGGGGAGGAGGGAGGAGGGAGGAGGGAGGAGGGAGGAGGGAGAAGGGGGAGGAGGAAGGAAGGAAGGAGGAGAGACGCGGGGCACCGTCTCTTCAAAACGAGGACCCAACACCACAGGATGGTCGGGAACCAGGAGAACCCTCCCGCTGTGGCTTTTTCACGACGCGAGGGGGCCCTGGGAGCCCATCTTGGGGGAAGCGGGTCCTCGAGGGAAACGGGCCCCGGGCCCCGGGGCCTCCCTGACTCCGGATCTACTTCTGTGGGTTTCCGCCCTACTTCTGTGGGTGTCCGCCCTACTTTATGTTGGGCGCAGAAATTTCCACCCTACTTTTTCGGCTTCTTGTAGGCGGATTTCCGACGCAATTTTAAGTTGGGAAAAAAAACAAAGCAGGGCGGATCTGGAGTCAGGGCTGCCCCCAGGACCAGATCTCTTCCCTTCAGACCTGGCAAGCTCAAACAATCCGAACATTGCGATTTCAGGTGTGAGAGGACAGCTGGTCAGCTCGACACACAACATAACTTAACGATCGCCAGTTCTAAGCGCACCCGGTAGCGTCAAGAAAGAACGCGCCTGCAACTCATGTAGGGGAACAAAAAGTGACATAAACATAGAAACTCGGAGGTCCGCGCGGATTTCTTGGACCCGCGTTGGACCCCCTGGCGGCGCCTCCGGCGCCGCCCCTGGCGCGCTCCGCGCGCCAGGGAGGGGGGGTCCAGCGCCGATCCGAGGAATCCGCGCGGACCTCCGAGTTTTTGTGTTTATGCCACTTCTTGTTCCCCTAAAAAAGAACTGTGCACATACACCGATTCTGGCCAGGCCCATCCTGAGCCCAGGATCGGTGCATACGCCCTCCTGCCCTGGCCAGGGAGGCACATGCCCCGATCCTGGGTCAAGGATTAGGCCCTGCCAGGATCGGTGCACGTGCATGGTGCTCTTCGCCCGAGATTTCGACGGCTGCTGGGGCGCCTCAGGTCGTGCTGGGGTGCCTCAGGTCGGGCTGGGGGGGCCTCAAAGTCCAGCGGAACCAGCCTTGTCCAACGAACGCTTCTGGCAGCCATCCGATCAAGGCCCCTGAGCCTCAGGTCGGGCATGGCCGGCCCGACAGGCGGACTGGGGACGACAAATCAAGACTACTCAAAACATACTCAACAAAAAAGTCAGAACCTTATCGAAAAAGACGGCGAGAAACCTCAGGGTCCTGTTCCCTCAGGACCTGCTCAGAGGAAGAAACAAACGCCATTAACATAAACTTCTGGCGCTCCGCGCGGACTTCCTGGATCTGCGATGGATCCCCCTCCCTGGCGCGCGGAGCGCGCCAGGAGCGGCGCCGGAGGCGCCGCAGGGGGGCGGCCCAGTGCGGATCCATGAAATCCGCGCAAGGCAAGGACAAGTCATACACCCGGAGGTGCGTAGGACACAGGACTGGAAAAATGCTGCCGACTAAAAACTCAAACTCGGACCGCGCGGAGCGCCTAAAGTTTATGCCTATGGCGTCGGCTTCTTCTTCTTCGACCGTTGCCCCCCCCCCCCCCACACACACACACACACCCCACTGCAATGCCCTGCCCCTTTGTTGGTTCTGCAAGCGAGCAATCAAGCCCCTGCAGCTAATCTATAGAGAGCCGCAGCTCGAACAGCACAGCACTTCTTCGAGCAACCTCACGAGGGCAACCGCGAGACAAGAAACACTGCTTAGGATGCGCGCCTAATTACGTGCGAATGTTGCGGAACTCATTGCGGAAGTTCCTCCTCCTCCTCCTCCTCCTCCTCCTCCTCCCTCCTCCTCCCCCTCCTCCTCCTCCTCCCCTCCTCCTCCTCCTTCCTCCTCCTCCTCCTCCTCCTCCTCCTCCTCCTCCGCCTCTCCTCCTCCTCGTCCTCCTCGTCCTCCTCTTCCTCTCCTCCTCCTCCTCTCCTCCTCCTCGTCCTCCTCTTCCTCCTCTTCCTCCTCTTACTCTAGAGCAACAACGAGCCGTGGAATTCGCCGTGCCTGGCAAACTCCACAGGCCGGGAGCGCGGCCGCCGGCAGCGCTGTACAGGCCCCGAGGCGGGAGCACCGCCCGGCACCGGGGCGCGCAGGGTGGCAGCTGCTCCTCCTCCTCCTCCTGCTGCTGCTGCTGCTGCTCCTCCTCCTCCTCCTGCTGCTGCTGCTCCTCCTCCTCCTCCTCCTCCTCCTGCTGCTGCTCCTGCTGCTCCTGCTGCTTCTCCTCCTCCACCTCCTCCTGCTGCTGCTCCTGCTGCTTCTCCTCCTCCTCCTGCTCCTCCTCCTCCTCCTCCTGCTGCTCCTGCTGCTGCTCCTCCTCCTCCTCCTCCTCCCCCTCCTCCTCCTCCTCCTCCTCCTCCTCCCCCCTCCTCCCTCCTCCTCCCACTCCACACACCACCGGCCTGGGCCCAGGGTGGCCCTGGCCTGGCACCGCGGCGGTGTTGCACTCCCTCCTCCTCCTCCTCCTCCTCCTCCTCCTCCTCCTCCTCCTCCTCCTCCTCTTCGTCTTCGTATTACTAGCATTGGTATTATTATTCGTGTTGCTCTTTTTCGTAGTATTATTCTGCTTCGTCCTACCCATCTGCGGGTGGCTGTGCGACCCCTCTCAGTCATGCTGGGGCTCGGGAGCAACGGAGACCCCGTGGCGTAGACGCGCCCGGGGCCGCCGGGTCTGGTCGAACGGATACTGCGAGGCCCCTGCTCGAAACAGAAGGATATGTAAGGGGATGCAATTCAAGGTGCCCCGTGTCGGTTCCCATGTTGACCGTTCCCCTCTCGTGGCTTGCCGGGGCTCTCAAAAGAAAGGTGCAGGAAGGAGGAGGAGCAGGAGGAGGAGGAGGACGAGGAGGAGGAGGAGGAGGAACGAGAGAACCAGGACGTGAGAGGGAGGAGCAGGAGTTACGTAGTGAGGATGTGCAGACAGAGTGCGGGAGGAAGCGGGACGCAACGAGGAGGGGGAAGGAGGGTGGGGAAGCGAAGAAAGAGATGAGGGAGGGGGCATGGCAAGGCCGCAGGGGCAGGGAGCGGGAAGGCGGGTGGAGAAAAGGAGGCGGGGCTGAGGGAGAAAGCATGAGGGGAAGAAGCAGGAAAGACAGAGAAAGGGAGAAGAGGGAAGACTCCTGTCCCGTGCTGTCCGTTGAGAAAGGAAGAGGAAGGACTTGGGGTCATCCAGAAAGACTCTGAGGGGCCTCCTGAGGAACCTTTCCTGAAGGCTTCTTGGGGGGCTCTTGGAGAGTTATTGGGGCCCACTGATGGCATGTCTAGGGGGGGCCCAAGGGTCCCCCCCAAGACGCCCTCCAAAAGGGGTCCGACAGAGCCGCATCTCCGATGCACCGGCGATGCGGCGCGATCCTTCGACCCCACCTACTCGGACCCCCCCAACACTCCGACGTCGCGATGGTCACGCAACCTCTGAACCCCCGGAGGTCTGGAACGCCTTCCCCGATCCTTCGATCCCACCTTCTCGGACCCCCCTACACTCCGACGTCGCGATGGTCACGCAACCTCTGAACCCCCGAAGGTCTGGAACGCCTTCCCCGATGCTTCGACCCCACCTGCTCGAGCCCCCCAAACACTCCGACGTCGCGATGGTCACGCAACCTCTAAACCCCTGGAGGTCTGGAACGCCTTCCCCGATGCTTCGACCCCACCTACTCGGACTCCCCCAAACACTCCGACGTCGCGATGGTCACGCAACCTCTAAACCCCCGGAGGTCTGGAACGCCTTCCCCGATCCTTCGATCCCACCTTCTCGGACCCCCAACACTCCGACGTCGCGATGGTCACGCAACCTAAAGCCCAAGAGGTCTGGACCCCGGAACCGACTTCTCATCCAGAGTCGCTTCTTGACGGCCCAGCGACTGCCCCCGGAGCACGAACCAGGCCCCGAACCTCCCGTCGCGACGTGTGCTTCACGACGACACGAGGTCTGGCTCTCGAGCCACAGCTAGAGTCTCCGGCAGCCGTTCGGGACGATCATGGTCTTGGCGAGGTGCGGCTTTTGGAGAGCACCTGGAGGCTCGAATGCCTTCCAGAACCAACGAAGACGCCCGGAAACCCTCCCCGACATCCGACGCCTTGAGTTTCTCAATGCGGGCCCCCCGAAGTCCACACCCTTTCCCCAGGGCTGGCCTTTCATGCCGAGTCGTTTTCGGACGGTCCCGGGGCCCAGCGAGGCTCCCACGATGGCGAAACCGACGAAAAACTCGCGTGCTGAATCTTCTCCAGGAGCGCTTGAGGTCTGCGCTCGAAGACTCTGTTCTGTGGCTTGGAGCCACCGGAGGAGGAGGAGGAGGGGGAGGAGGAGGAGGAGGAGGAGGAGGAGGAGGAGGAGGAGGAGGAGGAGGAGGAGGAGGAGGAGGAGGAGGAGGAGGAGGAGGTAGGGGGGAGGAGAAGGGAGGATGAGGGAAAGAGGAGGAGGAGGAGGAGGAAGGGAGGAGGAGGAGGGTGGAGGAGAGGAGGAGGATGAAGAGGAGGAGGAGGAGGAGGGAGGGGAGGAGGAGGAGGAGGAGGAAGGGGAGAGGAGGAGGGGAGGAGGAGGAGGAGGAGGAGGAGGAGGAGGAGGAGGAGGAGGAGGAGGAGAGGAGGAGGAGACAGGAGGAGGAGGAGGAGTGTGCCTGCCAGGCGCTGCCCCCCTAAGGGGCGTGCGGGGGCGGCCGCCGCGGGCGCGCCAGGGGCAGCGCGCACGCAGCACGAGCCCGCACGCCAGGCTCCACGCCGCCGGCGCGGGCCCCGCCCTGCGACACGCCGCCCGCCGCCGATTCGCCGCCGCGGAGCGCCGCCGCCGCACCGAGCGCGGCGCCGGAGCGCCGCCTTTCTTTGGGGGGCCTCCTCACTCCTCTCCTACTCCTCCTCCTCCTCCTCCTCCTCCTCATCCCCTCCTCCTCCGTCCTCCTCCCCTCCCCCTCCTTCCTCCTCCTCCCCCTCTCCTCCTCCTCTCCTCCTTCCATCCCTCTCCCCTCCTCCTCCTCCTCCTCCTCCTCCTCCTTCCCCCATTCCCCCTCTCCCACTGTTCCTGTCTTTCTGCCTCCCCGTTTTCATTCGCCGTCCTCGTTTCTTTTTCCCCCTCTGTCCCCTCCTCATCTTCGCCCAGCTCAACCTTTCCTGGCACATCGAGAACCACTCCCCCTTCGGCCGCAGATCTGCCAGCCATTTATCCCCCGCCCCTGACCCCAGGCGACCAGCAAGGAGGACCAGGCGACCAGCAAGCTTTCGGATCATAACTCGGCTTTCCCGCGGCCGTTCGGGACGATCTGGGCACCCCCAGATAGCTCTCGGCGAGGCGCATCCGCAGGAAGGCATCCCGAGGTTAGAAAGCCGCCGAGCACCGACGACCAAGGTCCGACCACCGCGAGCCTCGACCTCTCCCCGCCGTGCGCTGCCCCCCTTGGAGCCGCGTTGTGGTCGGGAGCCTTTGCTTCGCGTGTCGCGGCGGCGGCCCCGGCGACACGCTACGCCTTCCAAACGGACAGCGTGTCGCCCCGCTCCGCGGGGCCGGAGGCTCGGAAAGGCTCGGGACGCTGACGCCTCGGGACCCAGAAGTGGACAACGCGTCGGACCGAAGCGTGGTTGGGGCAGGACTGGCGGATCGACGCCGTATCCCAGAGTTCCCGACCGCATGGCCAGAACGCAAGAGCCTCCTCCACCACCCCTGCCGCCCTCTTTCGGGGTCGGCCAAGAGGGGCGTCCAAGAGGGGGGGGCGCAAATCATGGCAGGCGGCATGTGCGCGGCCCAGGGGGGGGAGCCAGGGACGTGATGGAACAAGAAGAGGCGCCATGAAATCTGAAGAAACATCATGGCCCGCGCCATGAGATCCCCCCCCTAGTCATCACCCCCCTCTTTGCCGCGCCCGACTCTTGGAAGGTGGCCCGCTCCGCTCGCACACCGCGCGATCCTGGCCCACCGGGCCCCCGATATCTGCAGATGTTGAGCAGGGACCGACCGTCCAGGCATTCCTATAGTCCTACCACGAAGTGTTCTTAGAACCCAAACATGTTCTAAGAGCACAAAAAAAAGTTCTTAGGACATTGACCCGACGTGTTAAAACAGGACAACCTCGGCCAGAAATGTTCTATAATAACATTTCGTGGAGATCACCAAAGGTTCTTAGGGCATTATATTATAGGGCTATGGGCGAGCCGGGGCGCTTCGCCACTGCTTGAAGATGAGGCCTCGCCCCCCTCCCGGCCGGGGCAGCCCCGCTGGGCATCGTGTTCGGTGGGCTGCCTGGGAGGCGCGCACGGGGCGCGCGAGCAGAAAAGTACTCTTGCGGCGTCGGTCGCCGAGGGGCGACGCCCAGTGGCGGCGCGCACAGAAGGGGGGGTGGAGGGCAGGGCGGAGGGCCTCTTGGCAGGAGGCCGCTTCTCAGATGGCGCCGGCCTTGCATCTGTCGACGCGGCCCGCGCCTTTCGAGAAGCAGGGGTGCTTCTAAGATGATGGGCCTGTGTTCCACCACCGCCACCAGAATCCCACCAGCCCTTTGGGCGTGAGTGGTTTAGAGAGCCCGCTCTGTTCTCAACCCCCTTCTTCCCCTTCGGGGAGGGGTGTACCCCTCCCCCTACCCCCTCCCCCTGGGCCTGGAGAGGGCGTTCCGCGGGTGGTCAGAGGGGTCGTTTTTGACTCCTGGGAGGGCTAAAAAACGACACCCCTCACGAGGATTCTGGCCCCGACGGGGGGAGGCAGAAAAAACCCTCTCCTCTTCTTTGAAGCCAAAATCATTGGTTTTATTACGGTTTTGGCCCCATTTTGGCCTTCCGAGGGGGCAGCGCTCCTTAAAGCTCCCCTCTTCTTTCAAGGCAGAATTATTGATTTTACGAAGGTTTTGGCCTCATTTTGCCCTTCTGAGGGGGCAGCGCTCATTAAAGCTCCCCTCTTCTGTCATCGATTCCCTCCAAGATGGCCCCAAGAAGCGCCCAGGAGGCACCAAGAGGCCCCAAGACGGCCCCAAGAGGTCCCCAGGAGGCCCCCAAGAGGCCTCCAAGAGGCCCCCAAGATGCTCCCAAGAGGTCCCCAAGAGGCCCCAAGAGGCGCCGAAGACGCCCCAAGAGGCCTCCGAGAGGCCCGAAGAGGCTCCCCCAAGGCACCCAAAACGCTCCTAGAAACCCCTGGGGCCGCCAAGAGGCCCC